CCTCCTGGGTTCAGGCAATTCTCCTGCCTCAGCCTCCTGAGTAGCTGGGATTACAGGCACGCGCCACCATGCCCAGCTAATTTTTTTGTATTTTTAGTAGAGACGGGGTTTCACCATGTTGACCAGGATGGTCTCGATCTCTTGACCTTGTGATCCACCCGCCTCGGCCTCCCAAAGTGCTGGGATTACAGGCTTGAGCCACTGCGCCTGGCCTGGAGCTTTCTTTTTTTTAAAAAAAAATTTTTAATTTTTTTTCTTCTTTGAGACAGAGTCTTACCATATTGCCCAGGCTGATCTTGAACTCCTGGGCTCAAGCAGTCCTCTTGCCTCAGACTCCCAAAGTGTTAGGATTACAGGCAAAAGATACTGCGCATGGGTTTTGGGGATTTTTTGGGCTGTGATCCAAAAGGTGTTGTGGCAGCTGTCTAGTCCAGTTGCCCTGCATATTGGCCTCAATACTTCAGTATAAATCTTGAACAACACAAGCCCCCAGGGGACTTACCTGCCTGCATGGGAGGGCTGTTGCTGTCTGTACCCACACACAGCCCTTGGATAATAAGGTATCTATGGGCCTCCATTGGCTGCATGCTACTGGGCCCTGACTTTCCTCCTCCTGAGGGCCAGCATCTCCCCAGGAGTCACTGGGTGCTTCTGGCCCACTGGTGAGGATGAGCCCATTAGGTGTGTTTGGAAATGTGGTTCCGCTGTTGCTCCCATTTCAGCTCAGTAAAACTTGAAATAACCTTCCAAAGAGCGGGTGTGGACAGCAGCTGCAGGTAGCCCCGGCCCTTCCTCAGAAGTGTGTTCTCCCTGCTGCACCCCTCTACCGACTTCCCCTGGGTAGGGGAAAAGTTGGAGGTCAAGGGAGCCAGACTAGGGGTAGCATTAGTCAGTGGGTATGCGTGTCTGCTAGATGGCTGTGCACCTGCCCTGAAGGAGGACTCTCAGATCCTCCCTAAGCTCCCTAGAGGGCATGTTCAGCCATTCCTTAGGGCGAAGGGTACCATAGGTGGAACAGGCAGACCTCAGCTGGCAGGAAGGAAAGTGATGGTGTTCTTAGCATCCCTGTTGAGCCATCTACAGCAGGCTCAGGAAAGATCCTAGCCGCCTACCCTTGGGGGAGCGTCAGAAGCCATGCTAAAAGTGCCCCTAGGAGATGGAGGACACAAGGACCCACCTGACTGAGCCCCATGGCCTGGAAGCAGCTCCAGGAAAGGGTACCCATCTGACAGCAGCATCGTGGGTTGTTACTTACCTCTGCCTACTGAGCACTTCCTATATGTGCAGCACCAGGCACTGGGGTTCATCCAGCCCAGCATGATCTCATGGGAATAATAAATGAACATGAAACTGCAGTCTTCAAGGTACAGCTGGAATAATTGCTGGAAGCACTGGGGGCTAAGAGGGAGTCTAAGCAAGTGTCCTTTATCCTGAGAACCAGAGGATCTAGCCAGGTGAAGACAGCCATGAGTCTGAGGCCCAGAGACAGACAGCTGCTGGGTGCAGGGCTAAGACAAGGCAGCCCTAGGCGAATGTGGCAGAGCGGGCTTTATGGAGTTTTTCCCGGGAGACAGAATGTACTAAAATGAGACTGGCGCACAGCACTGCCAGTAGCCCTTTGTGGCTTAAAGAAGTCATATGCACTGCAGGGTGCCATTGAGAAGGGTCCTGGTTCCTGCCTGGTCCCTGGAATTCCCTGCCCTCAGCAGACTGGGAAATCTAGTTGCCTTGAATTATTTCCTTTACTCCCCATGCCGGGAGGTGGAGTCAGAGAGCAATGGTCTCCTACCACTGTAAGGACTAGGAAGTTCCCCTCTAAGTGGCCTGATCCTGGTCATCCAGGGATTGGAGCTTCAGTCTGACTTAGGATGTGGTGGGAAAGTTTGAGTCATTCTCTCACATTCCCCTGAGTTATAATTCTCCTGGGGTAGGTTGGGGGGATCCTAGCAGAGGCCATCTCCCTGAGCCAGGCTTTGGGTCCAGTGCACCATAGAAGTTTGCTCCCGGGGCTGGGTGCAGTGGCTCGCGCCTGTAATCCCAGCACTTTGGGAGGCCAAGGCGGGTGGATCACGAGGCCTGGAGTTCAAGACCAGCCTGATCAACATGATGGAACCCCATCTCTACTAAAAATACAAAAATTAGCCGGGTGTGGTGGCGTGTGCTTGTAATCCCAGCTACTCAGGAGACTGAGGTAGGAGAATCACTTGAACCCGGGAGGCAGATGTTGCAGTGAGCCAAGATTGAGCCACTGCACTACAGCCTGCTGACAGAGCGAGACTCCATCTCAAAAAAAAAAAAAAAAAAAAAAGTTTGCTCCCTGGGAGGGTGGACAGGTCCTTTCCTTCCTTGCCAGACTCCTCATCACCCCAAGAGCAGTCCCTGTTCAGCCTAGGCCGGCACTGGGTGGGGAGGCCCCAAGCGATACATGGAGGAGGGGCAGCACCTCTCTCAGGAAAGTACAGGGACGCTGGGTAGTGGCTTATCCAGATGGGGTGGGCAGTGATGGGTGTTCTTGCTCTAATGCTTGTCCTTGGTCTCTAGCCCTGGCCTAGTGTGTCCAACCTGGCCAAGGACTTCATTGACCGCCTGCTGACAGTGGACCCTGGAGCCCGTATGACTGCACTACAGGCCCTGAGGCACCCGTGGGTGGTAAGCATGGCCGCCTCTTCATCCATGAAGAACCTGCACCGCTCCATATCCCAGAACCTCCTTAAACGTGCCTCCTCGCGCTGCCAGAGCACCAAATCTGCCCAGTCTACGCGTTCCAGCCGCTCAACGCGCTCCAACAAGTCACGCCGTGTGCGGGAGCGGGAGCTGCGGGAGCTCAACCTGCGATACCAGCAGCAGTACAATGGCTGAGCTGCCTGGCTGTGCGCACGTGCGGCACAGCCCAGCCTGGCCACACACTGTGATGCGCTCTGGCTCCAATGCCCTGTCTGGAGATAGGCCTGTGTGACCCGCAGTAGGTGAAGAATGTCTGGCGCCAGCCCCTTCTCTGTGCCTTCAGCAGCCCCTGTCCCCACCATGGGCCTAGGCCAGGTGTGAGAGAGTAGAGGTAGCCCAGGGGGCTGTGACCCACCCTGACCTTGGAGCTTGGCCTGGCACTGATAACCCTCTTGGGCAGCTGCTCTGGAGTTTTGAAGGGATAGGACCTGGCCTTCACTGTCTTCTTTGCCCTTTGGCTCTTCCCAAATCAAAGGGGGCCTGCAGTGCAGGGTGGAGGGTGTCCTGTGGCCTCAGGATCCTTTGGGACAGTTGCTTCTGGGACCCCCTTTCCTTCACAGAGCCCTCCTCCCTGGCTCCACACATACCCACACATCCTGATCCTTAAGACTATGCTCCAGTGGGAGATCCAGGTAGGCACAAAGCTTGTGCCCTGTCTCAACCGGTACCCCTTAGCTAGATCCAAATAGCCCTCCACCTCCCAGCCAAAATCTGTCTTCCTTCATGGTGCCCCCACGGAGCCCTCCTGGTTCCAGGACCTGCCAGGACCTCTGGTAGTGGGGCCATGGAGTGGACCTTCACCCTTTTGGACTGTGTGGCCATGCTGGTGGTCGGCTTGCCCAGGCTCCAGCCTCTCCAGACTGAGGGTGTCTCTGCCCACCAGCCCACTGCCCTTGGTGCCTTCTTTGTAGAGCCCACCACTACCTCCCTCTCCCCCTTGGATGCCCATTCTATTCCCCAGGTGCCTCCTTCCCAACTGGGGGTGGTTAAAGGGAGCCCCACTGCTGCTACCTGGGGGATGAGGCACCTGGGGCCAAGGCAGAGGGCAGGGGGCTCCTTTACATTAGGGTCCAGTGTCAGCCCGGGTTCTATCTTTTGGTGCAGCCCATTGCCCCTTCCCTTCAGGCTTTGCTGCTCCTTCCTCTGCAGCTGCACGAAGGCGCCATCTGGTGTCAGCAGGGGTATTGGCAGCCTGGGAGTGATCATTGCACTCCCATCATGCACACATGTAGTCGTCCGAGAGGACAAGAGAAAGGAGTTGCCGCACTGGGGTAGGGTCCCGGGCTACTCACCTCTCCCCTTCCGCTGAGCTTCTGTGCACCCCTCCCTGGAACTTAGCAATACTGTGTGACCTGCCTCTGAACCCTGGGTGCCTGGGGCACTGCCTTCTCACACCTGGTGTTGCCCCGTCCACCCTGTGCTGCTTCCCTTCACAGCATTAACCTTCCAGTCTGGGTCCCGCTGAGTCTCAGGCTGGAAGGAGCCCCTGTGGGAGGTGGGTAGGGTTGGGTGGCTGCTTTCCTAGAGGCCTGAGCCAGAACTGTCCCTATGGCTGTTGTGGTATCTCCCCCTACCACAAACCAGGCTGGAACCTGAGCCCCTCCCTCCACAGCTGCCTTCAGTGGGTAGAATGGGGCCAGGGCCCAGCTTTGGCCTTAGCTTGACTGCAGGGCCCCTGCCACTGGGGAAGGGTTTGGCTCTCACTCAGCTTCTACCAGTCAGCAGCCTGGGCCAGGCCTTCCTCTTCCTGTATGTGCCACCTCCAGTGGGAAACAAAACTAAAGCGACCACTCTGTACCAAGTCCACTGTGCCTTAGACACCCCCTCCTGTCATCCCCACTGCCCCCTGGACAGGAGGCAGTGGAAAGCCAAGCCCCATGGCCTCAGAATTTTGCCCCAGTTCCCCAAGTGTCTCTGGGGGCTTGAAGCCTTGGAGATTATGTTTTCTCTTGCCTAGGGTAGGCCTGGTCCTGAGGGCAGGATCGGGGGTTTGGAGATGTGGGCCTTTGACAGACCCTCCTGGGCTTTCATGCCATGGACCGTGGATGGAGAATGTGCAGTTATTTATTATGTGTATTCAGTTTGTAAATGTATCCTCTGTATTCAGTAAACAGGCCGCCTCTCCAGGGAGGGCTGCCATTCATTCCAACAGCTCTGGCTTCTTGCTGTAGAACCAAGGGGTTGCCCTGGAATAGGGCATGGCTACTCTAAGAAGAACCACTACTACTCAAGGAGTCACTCAGCCCCTTCCATGCCAGAAGTCCAAGTAGGGAGTCAGACCCTCAACAGCCTCTCCTTTATTCTGAGCCAGAAAGACAGACAAAAATGCATGATGGGACAGGGCCCGAGTCTTTAATGGGTGGAGCTGGGGAGGGGCCCGTGGTGGGCTCAGTTGTAGGCTATGACCTGGTTGATCCAGGCGCTGAACTTGCTAACTCGGGTGTACATAGCAGGTGCGCGCACATTGCAGTCGTTGGTGCCCCAGGAGACGATACCAATAAGCACCCACGTGTTTCCCTTCTGGCAGACAAGAGGGCCTCCAGAGTCACCCTGAGAAGGAAGAGGGAGGGAGAAGTGAGTGTGGGGGGTTGGGAGGTGTACCAGAGGATGGGGTGCCATGGCTCACCTGGCACGAGGAGGCACCTGCGCCACCTGCACAGATCATAGAGTCAGTGATACGTGAGCCCCAGTACTGCTGGCACTGATTCACAGTGACCAAGGGCAAAGCCACCTGCTGCAGACGGGCTGGTGTCACATTGCCTGTGGGGCAGGAGGGGTGGTCAGGCTGGGCCCAGAACACCAGTCTTCACCTCCTCCCGCCCTGAGCTTTGGCCTGAGTTCTTACCCACACCACTGAGGCGACCCCAGCCGGTGGTGACACATGTGAGGCCTTCAGTTAGAGCCTCGTTCGAGGATGCCAGGCAAACTGGTGAGATACGTGTTGTGTACTGGGCTGGCGAGACGAGCTTCAGCAGTGTCACGTCATTGTTCATGGTATTGGGGTTCCAGCCAGGGTGTGTAATGGCCTGTGGGGCCAGAAGCAGGCTTTGTTGGGCTGGGGTGGGTCCTGGCAGCTGGGGCTGATGGGTGCTGAGTGGGGTGTCCTGAATTCCTTGTTCCCAGTGCCCACCCACCTGCACTGCCCACTCTTCCTCCATGTCTGCAGCCTAGGCACTCACCCGAGAGATGGACAGAACCTGCAGGGGCTCTGCGTTGGATGATCGGTCATACTCGCCCAGGACAACAAAGTGACGGCCAGGGCTGCCAGGAGGTGGGGTTAGGCAGCTGCAGGGAGGGCAGACCAGGAGGGGGACAGCCAGGGGAGGAGGCAGGAAGAGGTGAGGGGTGGGGTAGGTGGAGTGAGGGCGCTCACCTGACATTGCAGTGGGCAGCAGTGACCACCCAAGACTGGCTGATGAGAGAACCACCGCAGAAGTGGAAGCCGCTGCTGTCCTGGGGTCAGGGCTCAGAGATCAGAGTGGGGATAGGCTGCTCAGGCTGCCCCTAGGCATGACATACCAGGACCCTGCCCACCCCTCTAGTGGTGTACCTGCAGGGACACCTGCCAGGGCCAGGAGCCCGGCACTGCATTCTCCCCGTTGACAATCCTCTGGCTGAAACTCAGTGCCGGTTTGATGGCAGGAACACCGCAGCCTGACCATTGGGCTGGTAAGGACCTGCTTCCCAGGCCTCAGCCTGCCTTTCCCCACCTCCTTCTCCTGGGTGCCCCAGGCTGTGCACCCTGGAGAGGTTTGTAGAGAGGGTACAGCACTACCCCTTCCCCAGCAGGGTACATGCAAGTACTTTCGGGCCCCACAGCTATCTTGGTTTCCCCATCCAACCAGTCCCCCAGTTCCGCCATTCTCCCCGCTCTTGCTCCAGCCTAGTCCCATTGTTTCCCATCTCTACCCCTGGTCTCTTTGACCTCTCCAGACCTGAACAGATCAACATTCTTCCAGCCAGAGGGTTCTTTCTAAAAGACATGGACAGGTCTTCCTGTCTCAGCTTCCTAAACCATGCCCACCCTACTCTTGCCCCCTCCCATCCTTGCAGGCCTGTTCATGCTCCCCTGCCCTGGCACATCCTGTTTCCTTTGCTCACTCTGTCTACCTGCATCCCTTCCAGCCAGCTTGGCCCCTTCCCTGGGCTGTTGCTGGGAGCTGAGTTGCCCCCAGGGCTGAGTTAGGGCTGGTCCTGGCCCACTCACCCCAGGAGGAGCTGAGGAGAACCAGGCTTAGAGTCAGGCTGAGCAGCAACATCGTGGCAGATGTGAGGTTGGGAGCTGGGCCTGGCTTTATGGGTGTTCTTGTCCTTGAGCTAAAGCTCCAGGCCTGAGGCCAGGCCAGCTGTGTAGACTCAGTCCCCTCTCATGATCCAGTCAAGACAGGCTCTTTAGGCCAAGGTGCCCTAACGCAGGCCTGGACTTATCAGACAAGAGCACAGGTGTCAGGCTCTCACCTCTACCACCTCCCAATGCCTGGCCTCTAATTGGCTCCCTGAACCATCTCCCATTCTAATGTTGAGTTGTGGATACCGAGGACAGATGGTTTAATTAGTTCTATAGTGACAACCTGGTGGTTGGGATTAGAGGAGTCTCCCAGGGCTATCAAAGGCACCAGGCTCTCAGAAAAGGCTGCTCAGTGTCCAGGATGTTCTGACTGGTGAGGGCATGCTTACTCTAGTGGACTTTGCTGTGGGGTTCTGGCGGGTTGCGAGTCGTAACACATCATGGTTCCGCATCCATTTGGAACAGGAGTCACAGGTCTGCTGAGAGAAGCTGACTCTGACCAGCATGTGGTTGAGTTAGATACAAACCCGCATTTGTCTGGTGCTGAAGCCCCCACTCTAAACAATGAGATGATGCTTGTGAGGGGCAAAGTGTGAGCTCTTGGTGCCTGGCAGACCCTGGACTGAGGCTGCAGGTGGAGAGTGACAGCCATCAAATCTCTGGCAGTTCTCTAGGCCTTGGGGCTTCCATGGGCAAGCCCCTGGTGTCTGTAGCCCACTTGTTACTGAGCTGCAGTTCAAGCTTGAAGAGAGAAGATACCCTTTGTGCAAAGTTCCAACAGGTGTGTTGGCTGGCCTCCTGGGAGTGTGGGAGTGTGAGGGTTTTTTTTTTTTTTTTTTTTTTTTTTTTTTTTTAGATGGAGTCTAGCCGGGCGCGGTGGCTCAAGCCTGTAATCCCAGCACTTTGGGAGGCCGAGGCGGGTGGATCATGAGGTTGAGAGATTGAGACCATCCTGGTCAACATGGTGAAACCCCGTCTCTACTAAAAATACAAAAAATTAGCTGGGCATGTTGGCACGTGCCTGTAATCCCAGCTACTCAGGAAGCTGAGACAGGAGAATTGCCTGAACCCAGGAGGCGGAGGTTGCGGTGAGCCGAGATCGCACCATTGCACTCCAGCCTGGGTAACAAGAGCGAAACTCCGTCTCAAAAAAAAAAAAAAAAAAAAGAGATGGAATCTAACTCTGTCACTCAGGCTGGAGTGCAGTATCATGATAACAGCTCGCTGCAACCTCTGCCTCCTGGGTTCAAGTGATTCTCCTGCCTCAGCCTCCTGAGTAGCTGGGACTACAGGTGTGTGTCACCACGCCTGGCTAATTTTTGTATTTTTAGTAGAGACGGGGTTTCACCAAATTGATCAGGCTGGTCTTGAACTCCTGACCTCATGATCCACTGCCTTGGTCTCCCAAAATGCTGGGATTACAGGCATGAGCTACCACGCCCAGCCAGCAAATGTAACAAAATACTAATTGTCAGGTCTGTGGTGACCTGACAGTATATGGGTATTCAATATACAACTCTCAACTTTTCAGTTACATTTACAAATATATGTAATAGAATGTTGGGGTGCAGGGAGCATAGTCAGCGGCCCAGGGATGTCCACCCTGGCATAGACCCTCCCTGGAGGCTGCGCATACACTCTCTGACAGTTCTGAAGCTCCAGTGGAATTAAGCTGTTCTCGCTGAGGGCAGGATGCTCTTGCTGGCAGCCAGCAGCCAGGCTTGAGACTCAGCGGGGGCCTAGCAAAGCTTTATTAGAGAAACGTGTCATCTCTCCCCATGTGAGTCCTGTGACCCCTATTGGCCTGGAAAAAGTTGGAGTCACAAGCCCAGCATGTGCAGACACAAGCCAAGCTTCTGTGAGCAGTGCAGGCATGCTTCATCTGCTGAGAGGTGTCACGGATAAGGAATGTTGCAAGGTTGAGGAGTGCTTGGTGAGACCTTGCGTTGCAGTCAGGGAGCAGCTCCTCTGTCAGCACTTTAGCCCCAGTGGGACCTGTGGGGGCCTGACTGAAAGGTATGGACTTTGTCCTGGGCCACTGAGGAGCCATGGAAAGTCTCTAGGAGGTGGTAGTACATGGGGTCTTTCAGGTTTTACAAGTCTCCAGTGGACCAGAGGGCAGGAGCAAGGCAGTGGTGTTGGCGGGGGAGCCAGAAGGAAGGTTCAGGTGGAGACAGGATGGGGGCGTTTCATCCAAGCCTGCAATGCTGGCAAGGGCTGGTGTTCTGGAGTAGTAGACACCTGAGGTGATGGGTAAAGGGCATCTCATAGGCCAGGCACTGGAGCTCTGGGAGGTAGTGGCCCCTGCGGAGACGCCTTAGCTACAGAGCCCTGCTGGCAGCCTGCCCACCCACTCCACTCAAGAATGACACAGTCATATGTTTAGCTGTTTGTATTTTCTGGGTTTATTTCCCCTTGTTCCAAGCTCTAAGCCTCAAGCCTATTTTACTCCACCTCCATAGCCTGCACGGTTTCCTCCACTAGCTCCAGAGTTAGTGGCTTCACTGTCTGGGTCAGGACAGCTGTGGTTCCAGGCACAAAGTGGTAGTGACCAGACCTGGGAGGGAGGAGGGACAGCTTCTGACTATGAGCCTGTCATGTGGCCCATCCCCTTCTTGCAGCCCCCATCTCTTCTGCTATGGCTCCACACACCCCTGTGGTCCCCAATCTCCAGCTCTCACCTCTTCACGGGCTCTGTGGGCGAGCTCAGTGTCCTCAGTAGCTTGGCGCCTGACTTCGTAATCACACATGCGTCCACATTACCCCCGGAGCCCAGGTCACCCAAGATTCCTGCAGTGATGGCTTCCACCAGCAGCCCCTGAGCAGCCTCCAGCTGCGGTGATGGGTGTGTGAGGCCTAATGGGCCCTCTGCTGTTAATTTAGGCTATAGCTTGGGGACTTGCCTGCCCACTCACCCAATCTGGTCTTGCCCCCCAAACCCCGACTGTGTTTCTCCCTCAGGGCCTTAGCCACCTTTGGGGAGACATACATCACCTGCTTCTATCCTAGCCCAAACAAAATCTTGGCTCTAGACATTGATATAGGTAGGACCCTACTGGTCCTTCCCTCCACCCTCGGTTCCAAAAGATCCTCTGTGAGCTTCGACTTCTTCCAGTCATCCAAGCTTTGGACGGTGTGGTGTAGGGATCAAACTTCTCTGCTCTTACTCCACTCACCCTTCAGTGGTCACCTCCTCCGACGAGCCTTCCCCCACCTCCACACTGGGTCAAGGTCCTGTGCTCCCCCAGCTCCCAGGTACACATCCCACCAGCGACCATATAGTGGGGAACAGAGGCTGCTCACCGTCATGTTCGGCTGGAACCGGTCTTCTAGCACCGCCAGGGCCGCGTCCTGGCCAGAGCCTGAAGGCAGGAGAAGCATCTGAAGTCAACGGCTGCCACCCGGTTTGGAGTAGAAGCCTGAAGCCAAGGTCACAGGGGCAGGGTTCGAGGAGAAGGGACAGAAGCGCTCACCCAGAGCCGTGAAGAGCATACGGCTGTAGGAGCCATGGGGATGTACACCGTAGAGCTGCGGTCCAGTCAGGTCTACGCCGCCCACGATCAGCGATGCACCCACGTGGCCCTGGTACCTGCTCGTGGATGGGCGGAGTCGGCCACAAGCGGGACCCAGGCCTCGGCCCTCTATGCCCCACCCGTGGGTGCTATCCCCGCCCCTTCCTGTGGCCCGGAGCTCGATAGCTGACATCGCCTCTTCCTTCAGCCCAGCTTCTCTTAGTCCTGCCTCTTCCGGTCACCTGGCCCGTCGAGGCCGCGCCCTTCTTTTGTTCCGCCTTTTTATTGGCCCCGCCCCTGCAACGGCCCCTCCTGGGGTCCTGTTAGCCTCGCCCCCGCACCGGAAGAGCGTCTGGCGCAGGATGCGGGTGACCGTGGGCACGCGGGGCTCACGGCCCGTGGATAACGCGTGTAGCTCCATCTTGGACGCCACCATCCGTGTAATCATCTCGGCGTCCGCGGCTACTCCAGCCCCACAGCAGCTGAGGGGAAAAGGGAGGATTGGCGTGGGCAGGGCTGGGACGTGCGGGGACCGGAGTGGGAACGAGGGGGCGGTTCTTTTTTGCGTGCCGGAACTAGGCTAGGGGAGTCTCACTAGATTTTGGGGGCGATGAAATGGATCTTTTCGCAGCTCTTGTCCGCCACAACAGAATCATTAGTGGCTCGCGTGTCGGCGCCCAGAATGACCCCGTCCTGAGGAGAGGGGGGAAACCGCATCCTCAGTGCCTGCTCGATGCTCCCGACTCCTCTCCAGCTCCCCAGTACCTCCCCGCGGCTTACTTGGAACACAAGGCCCGCGATGGTGGTCCCGGTCTTGCGTGCGTGAGGGACCTTGAGTCCCGGGAGGACGCGTTCCAAGGACGCATTTCTAGAAACGGAGGGGGGCGCCCAGGTTTCAGCTCTACTTCCAAGACCCCTGTTGCTTCCCCTAACCCGGTCCCAGTCTCCCTCGTCTTCTGGTGTAAGCCTGGAACCCGTCGCCAAACACACCTTCCCCCACCCCCAACCAGGAAAAAAGGCCACGACCAAGCAGAGGCGGTTTGGGAGTGACCCTCCCCCTTCACCTTTGGCAGTTCTCGAAGGAGAAGCCCCCTTGGGTCTCCAGGGCTGGCTCCAGCATCTTGGGGCAGGCAGAGCGGATTAGGCGTCGCGGGCAGACGGGTGGGTCAGACAAGTGGGGCCAGTGAGGAGCTGAAAAGTCCTCTGCTTGGCTCCACTTCTGTCCTTTCTGCTTTCACTTTCGTCTTTACCCTTCCTCAAAGTCCTTTGGCGGTTTTCTGCTTCTTCTCTTTCACTTTCGGCTTCACGTGTGGCTCTCAGCATTTTGGGTATGGGATGATGTTCCTTGCTGGACCCTTTGTGCTGCTCATTGAGTCCTCTGTTGAACAGAGGGACAAGTCTCTTCCCTTCTGGACAGTGTTTAGCTTCTCCTCCCCCTCCGTCTGAGCCCCCTGCTCTTATCCCAGCTTCAACTCTGATTTCCAGTCCCAACACCCTAAGGCTGTCAGAGCCTTGGCCAGGTCTCTGCATTGTTGTTGGCTGGCTACCCAGTAGCATCAGGCATGGCTGACTTTTGTTCCTTGTCACCTTTCTTCCAACTCTTGCCTCTTTTGTTGCCTTTACTCCTCTGCGAAACCACAAACAGAGGCTCAGTCAGCCGCAGGGATACTGGTCTTCCCATCTTCCCTGTCTCAGGTGCCATCTTCCCTCTCTCAAGAGGGTCACCATGACTGCTGGTTTCCACTCATGGCCAAGCCTTGTTATTTCACCTCCCAGTGACCTCTTGTCCGTATATGTCTTTCTTCTAGCACTTCTCATCTCAGCTAGCATCTTCTCCCACTCGGACATTGCACTGGCTTCCCTGGTTACTTCGCAATTCTTGCCCCTCACCTCAGGCTACACTTTAACCTGCAGAGAGAGTCTTTCTAAACTGGAAATCTGGCACACTGGTTTAAACCCTTCAACAGGCTGGGCCTGGTGGCTCACCACTGTAATCCTGGCACTTTGGAAGCCCAGGAGTTCGAGGCCACAGTGAGCCATGGATCACGCCATTGTACTCCAGCGTAGGCAATAGAACCTGTCTCAAAGCGGGAAAAAAAAGATTTGGGTGCTTGCTTCCGCAGCACATATACTGAAATTGGAACGATACAGAGAAGATTAGCATGGCCCCTGCGCAAGGATGACATGCAAATTCGTGAAGCGTTCCATATTTAAAAAAAAAAGTTACTAAAATTTTAAAAAGTTAAAAAAATTTTTTTAAGTTAAAAAAGATTTGGGTTTGAGCTTAAGAGCAGCATGCAGCTGCTGAAATGTTTACTTTTTATTTTGAGGAAGTCTCACTCCGTTGTCCAGGCTGGAGTACAGTGTTGTGATCTCGGTTCGCTGCAACCTCTGCCTCCCAGGTACAAGCAGTCTTCTACCTCAGCCTCCTGAGTAGCTGGGATCGCAGGCACACACCACCATGGCTGGCTAATTTGTGTGTGTGTGTGTTTGTGTATTTTAGAGAGATGGGGTTTCACCATGTTACCCAGGCTGGTCTTGAACTCCTAAGCTCAGGCAATCTACCCTTGGCCTCCCAAAGTGCTAGGATTATAAGAATGAACAACAGTGCTGGGCCTATTTTACTTTTTAAATTTTTTAATTCTCTTTTTTTTTTTTGGAGACAAGTTCTTGCTGTTATGCAGTCTGGAGTGCAGTGGTGCCATCTCAGATCACTGCAACCTCTGCCTCCCAGGTTCAAGCAGTCCTCCTACTTCAGCCTCCCTAGAAGATCTGACTGCAGGTGTGTGCCACCACACCTGGCTAATTTTTAATTTTTTAAGACTGGGTTTCACCATGTTGGTCAGACTGGTCTTGAACTCCCGACCTCAGGTGATCCACCCCGCCTTGGCCTCCAAAGTGCTTGGATTACAGGTGTGAGCCACCATGCCCGGCCAATTATTTATTTATTTTTTTTTTTTGAGACAGAGTTTCGCTCTTGCTACCCAGGCTGGAGTGCAATGGCGCGATCTCGGCTCACCGCAGCCTCCGCCTCCTGGGTTCAAGCAATTCTCCTGCCTCAGCCTCCTCAGTAGCTGGGATTACAGGCACGTGCCACCATGCCCAGCTAATTTTTTGTATTTTTAGTAGAGATCTCTCAACCTCGTGATCCACCCACCTCGGCCTCCAAAAGTTCTGGGATTATAGGCTTGAGCCACCACGCCCGGCCCAATTTTTAAATTTTTTGTTGAGATGGGGTCTTATGATATTGCCCCGGCTGGTCTTGATCTCCTGGGCTCAAGTCAAGTCAAACTCATCTTTACAGTGGTCTATTACTGTTCTCATCCCTGTGACCTCAGTGTAGGCACCGCCTCCTCTGGGAAGCCTTTGCTGACCTGAAAGACTTAGTCTCTTTTTCTTTTCTTTTTTTTTTTTGAGGCGGAGTTTCGCTCTTGTTACCCAGGCTGGAGTGCAATGGCACAATCTCGGCTCACCGCAACCTCCGTCTCCTGGGTTCAGGCGATTCTCCTGCCTCAGCTTCCTGAGTAGCTGGGATTACAGGCACACGCCACCATGCCCAGCTAATTTTTCGTATTTTTAGTAGAGACGGGGTTTCACCATGTTGACCAGGATGGTCTCGATCTCTTGACCTCGTGATCCACCCTCCTCAGCCTCCCAAAGTGCTGGGATTACAGGCATGAGCCACTGCGCCCGGCAAGACTTAGTCTCTTTTGCTCCCTAAACTTTTCTTATTTTTATTTTTTTATTTTTTCTGCTCCCTAAACTTTTCTCAGAGCACCTAGCTTCATACTAATTAAACTTTCATTAGTGAAATGATCCTGATTAATAATGGTTGTCACTCAGATTCTAATTCTAAACTTTTTCTTTTTGAGACCCAGTCTTTCTTGAGACAGAGTCTTGCTCTGTTGCCCAGGCTAAAGTGTAATCACACGATCTTGGCTCACAGTAACCTCCGCCTCCCAGGTTCAAAAGATTCTCGTGCCTCAGCTTCCCGAGTAGCTGGGAGTACAGGTGTGTCCCACCACGCCTGGCAAGTGTTTTGTACTTTAGTAGAGGTGGGGTTTCTACTGTGTTGGCCAGACTGGTCTCGAACTCCTGACTTCAGGTGATCTGCCTGCCTTGGCCTCCCAAAGTGCTGGGATTATAGGCGTGAACCACCACACCCGGCCTCTAAACTCTTTCAGCACTGTCAGTCACCCAGCACTCAAAAGGCCCTGTCTCACCTGCCCTTTTGGAAGCTTGGAGGACAGCTCAAATCACCCCCTCCCTGTACTCCTCTCATAGGACTGTGGATATAGCCAGCTCCAGTCCCCATGCTCAGCACAGAGGCAGGCATGGTGCATGCTGCCTCAAACGCTCGACCAGGAGAGTGGACAGCTGTACATCTAGGGTGCCCAGCTCAGTCCCAGGCCTCAGCCGAGCCCATCTTGCCTCACTCTGCTCTGACCTGTGGCTGGTGATGAGTGAAACCTGGTGTGGGACTCCAGTGCCTCCCTTCAACTCCCAATATACACATCAGGGCTTACAGCAGGAAAGGAAAGTCTTTATTCAGGGGGTGGGGGCTCTGGGCTGGCCATCACCATTGGGGATGCAGGAGGACCCTGGCGGTAGGCACCCAGCAGGATGGCATTGATGTGCTCCAGGGTCTGGTTGCTGAAGACCATGTTGAGGTGCTGTATCCCATGCAGGGGCAGCAGGTGCACAGGCTGTGGCTGGCGGCCCCGCCAGAGGCCACAGAGCTCAGTGCTGCGCGTCGCCACCGTGTCATCACCATCCTCATAGAGCTCACCCACAGGGTCTGTGTAGGGGAAGCCGTGGTCGTAGATGTAGGTGCGGGGCGTGGGCAGGCCCACACCGTAAAGACAATATACTTCCACGCCAGGTGCTGGGAGTCCTGCCAGGAGGTCACGTGACTGCAGCCACATGTACCAGCCTTCCTCAAAGTGGAGGTCTGCAAAGAAGCGCTGGAAGTCCCGGCCTGTGTAGTTGAAGCTGGGTGTGGAAATGAACACATGGTCCTCAGGCCATGCCATGCGAGAGGGAAACATCCAAGGGGAGGTCGTCGTTATGCGCTGCTCCTCTTTCAGCTTGATGCTGGACATGATGGGGATGCCCTGGTTGTCACCTGTGGATATGGAGCAAGGTGGGACGGGGAGCCAGTCCTGGCCCACAACCTGCTGATTGTAGACTCAGCCAGATACTCCATCTTGTCCCTGCCCAATCTAGACACAGACTATAAGGTACAGACTTGAGCAGGCCTGATATTCAGTGATGCTCAATGTGGGCTTATTCAATGAGAAGCCCTGATGGCACCTCTGTTGGGTGGAGCTGTAGGGCTTCAAAAGGAGGGCAGGGGCAGGTGGCAAGGCTCACCCCTCTAATCCCAACACTTATAGGGAAGCTGAGGCAGGAGGACCACTTGAGGCCAGGAGTCCAAGACCAGTCTCGGCAATGTAGTGAGACCCTGTCTATACAAAATTTAAAAAAAAATCAGGCCGGGCGCGGTGGCTCAAGCCTGTAATCCCAGCACTTTGGGTGGCTGAGGCGGGTGGATCACGAGGTCAAGAGATCGAGACCATCCTGGTCAACGTGGTGAAACCCCGTCTCTACTAAAAATACAAAAAATTAGCTGGGCATGGTGGTGCGTGCCTGTAATCCCAGCTACTCAGGAGGCTGAGGCAGGAGAATTGCCTGAACCCAGGAGGCGGAGGTTGCGATGAGCCGAGATCACGCCATTGCACTCCAGCCTGGGCAACAAGAGCGAAACTCCGTCTCAAATAAATAAATAAATAAATAAATAGGGCTGGGCGCAGTGGCTCATGCCTATAATCCCAGCACTTTAGGAGGCTGAGGCGGGCGGATGACTTGAGGTCTGAGGTTTGAGACTAGCCTGGCTAACATGGTGAATCCCTGTCTCTACTAAAAATACAAAAATTAACCAGGCATGATGGCGCATGCATGTGATCCCAGGTACTCATGAGGCTGAGGCAGGAGAATCACTTGAACCTGGGAAGCAGAGGTTGCAGTGAGCTGAGATTGTGCCACTGCACTGCAGCCTGGGCAACAGAGCGAGATTCCATCTCAAAATAAATAAACAAATAAGTAAATATGTTTTAAAGGGGCAAGAGCCCAGCACAGTGGCTCACATCTGTAATCCAGCACTTTGGGAGGCTGAGGCAGGAAGATCACAAGCTCAGGAGTTAGACCAGCCTGGGCAACATAGCAACACCTCATCTCTACTGAAAAATAAAAATAAATTAGTTATGGTGAGGCCGGGTGCAGTAGCTGAAGCCTGTAATCCCAGCACTTTGGGAGGCCGAGGTGGTTGGATCACGAGGTCAAGAGATCGAGACCATCCCGGTCAACATGGTGAAACCCCATCTCTACTAACAATACAAAAAATTAGCTGGGCATGGTGGCACGTGCCTGTAATCCCAGCTACTCAGGAAGCTGAGGCAGGAGAATTGCCTGAACCCAGGAGGCAGAGGTTGCGGTGAGCCGAGATCGCGCCATTGCACTCCAGCCTGGGTAACAAGAGCGAAACTCCGTCTCAAAAAAAAAAAAAAAAAAAAAAAAGTTAGGTATGGTGGTGCATGCCGATAGTCTCAGCTACCCAGGAGGCTGAGGAAAGAGGATTGCTTAAGCTAGGGAGATTAAGGCTGCAGCTATGATTGTGCCACTGCATTCCAGCCTGGGTGACAGAGAGACACCCTGTCTTTAAAAAAAAAAAAAAAAAGGCAGATGGGGCTTCCTGAGGACTGGGGTGTGGGGATGGTGGGGTGTGTGGCATGGTGGGGGTGTGTGTGGACACTGGCGTGTGTGTGGACACTGGGGTGTGTGTGGATGTGGTGGGGGTGTGTGGACACAGGGTGTGTGTGTGGACGTGGGGGCTGTGTGTGGACGTGGGTGTGTGTGTGTGGACACGGGGTGTGTGTGGACGTGGGGGCTGTGTGTGGACGCGGGGGCTGTGTGTGGACGCGGGGTGTGTGGGGACGCTGGGGGGTGTGTGCACGCTGGGGGGTGTGGGCGTGCTGGGGAGTGGGGGGATGGTCAGGGTCATGGGGATGCTGGGGGATGTGGGGATGCTGGGGGGTGTGGGGAACTGGGGGATGTGGGGATGGTAGGGGGTGTGGGGATGCTGGAGGGTGTGGGGATGGTAGGGGGTGTGGGGAGCTGGAGGATGTGGGGATGGTAGGGGGTGTGGGGAGCTCAGGGGTGTGGGGATGCTGGAGGGTGTGGGGAGCTGGGGGGTGTGGGGATGGTACGGGGTGTGGGGAACTGGGGGATGTGGGGATGCTGGGGGGTGGGGGGATGGTAGAGGGTGTGGGGAGCTGGGGGGTGTGGGGATGCTGGGGGGTGGGGGGATGGTAGAGGGTGTGGGGAGCTGGGGGGTGTGGGGATGCTGGGGGGTGTGTGGGGATACTTGGGGGTGTGGGGATGCTGAAGGGTATGGGGATGCTGGGGGTGTGGGGATGCTGGGGGTGTCTCTCTGCTACTTGTGTGGCTTGTGCTGCAATGGGGGGTCAAAGAGTTGTGGTCCAGGAAGGGAGAAACGAGGTGGTGTCTGATGAGTGTTTCTTCTCCAGACTGTGAGCCAGGTCCCAGGGTACAGCAGGTAGGGAGTAGGTGGTAGCTGTGTTAGTGCTGGGCCCTGGTGCCACTCCCTAGGGAAGGGCAGGCGGGGCTCTGAGGGTCTGGCCCTAGCTCTGGCAGATCCATCCTCAGTAAAGCACATCCCTGGACAAAGGTACTCATGTAAGTGGAAGGCAGGCAAGGGCCAGGTAGGCAGGTTCTGGGGCTACAAGGAACAAACCTGGGGGCAGAGAGCTGAGGTTTTCTTCCTTCTAGTGTTCACTGCTCCTTTGCCATCACTGACACAGACTCTGGAAGGAGCTACCCTAATTGCTCAGGCCAGGGTCACTGCTCTAGGGGCCAGTAACAGCAAGCTTGCTGGTCCAGGGACAGTAGACAACACCCCCAGAGGCCACTGTGAGTAGCAGCCGCAGTGAGGGCAGGCCCAGGATCAGCTTCATCTCACCACCCTCCCCTCTTTGGGCCTAAGTGATCAAGGCCCTCTCACCTGAGGCCAAGACCAGCATAGGCTTGATGGAGCCACCCCAGGGAGCCCCAAGAGAGATGAAGCCATCGATGAAGCGGTCCTTCCAGGCCTGGGGCTGGCGCAGCAGGAAATAGAGCAAGTGTAGGCAGCCAAGGCTGTGGCCAATGAGGAAGACAGGTTTCCCATAGGCAGCGTGCATCTCCTCCACCAGCCCCGAGAGCTTGTGATAGTACTCCTCCTGCTGGCCTGAAGTGGGTGGAAGGGGTCAGGGCAGCTGGGGTGGGGCCACCTGTCCAGCCCCAAGCCTGTCCTGGGCAGAGACTCACCAGGCTCCAGCCGCCAGTCATAGGGGGCAGCGCGCACGGTCTCATCCCGCACGTAGCCATTGTTGACCAGGTTCTGTACCAGCGTGTGCAGGTATCCTGTGGGGGAAGCAGCAGCACTGGGAGCTCGGGCCATGCCTGCTCTGGGCCAGCACCCCGGCCTGGAGCCCCGGCCCTGCCCTCTGACACACACCTGCCAGCTTGCTGCTGTCCAGATACTCCACAGAGTAGGTCTTGCCAAAGCCAGGGACACGGATCTGGACGCCAGGGGCGTTGGACACAAGCCCAGAGCTCCGGTTGTAGACAACCCTAGGGGCGGGGTGCCACTCAGCAGCCAGTAGCCAAGGGGCAGTGCGTGGGGGCTGGGGTGGAGCACGTGGCTGTACCTGGTGTTATCGATCCAGCAGTCTACCCCGAGGGGTAGGAACATGTTAAGATCCAGCCAGATGGTGAAGAAGTCCTCTGTCTTGCGGTAGCACATCCAGTTCACCACATCTGGTTTGTCCAGCTTGGCTTCTAGCTGATTCCCCAGGCAGCCGGGCACTGTGAGCAGCGGCCCTCACTCTGGACTCTGGATTCTCCCCGTGACCCTTACCCCGGTCACCCCAGATGCTGCAGTGACCAGACCTGCCCCCCACCTCCCACACCCTCAACCCCCAGGTACAAAGCACACTTACCCTCCCCTGCTCACATCCCCTCTCCCTGCTGTCCCCACGAGTAGCCAAAGCCCAGGCTTTCCCGAGGAAGGGAAGGTGCTGGGGTCAAGGCCGCTGACCTCTGCCTCTACAGAGTAAACACCCATCCTGGCAAAACTCCCTTATTGCCAAAGTCCAGGGTGGGAACAGATAGGTCTAGGGGCGTGGGGGCTGGGCCTATCAGGGCCGGGCATGGATGGGCCTTTCCTGCTCGCTGTCCCTAGGCTGGGCATCTTGTCTTTGGTGGGTGGGGGCCAAGGAAGGAGTGGTGGGGCTTGGCCCAGAGTCTGGTGTGGCTGTGGCTGACCACAGCTTGTGATGCCCCAGCCAAAACCTCAGGCACACCCCATCCCCCACTCCGCCACCCTGGGGTAGGCAACTGAGAGACAAAGCACTGGGGGAGAAGGGAGAGTCATTCCTTTACTGGACAAGCTTTTGGCCCCTCCCCACACTGAGGCAGGTACTGGGGCTTAAACAGGGCAGAAGGGTTTTGGCTACGTTGGCTGCTGGCGCGGTGCATCAGGGGCCTGGCGGGGGCTTACCGAGGATGACAGGCCGTGTGTGGTTACTGAGCTCAGCCCTGGGCGTGGTGTGCGGGGGGAAGAGCACATTGAAGAGCCAGAAGGGGGCGGCAGGAGGGAGCAGCAGCCCCAGCAGCAGCAGCACCCACTGCCATGGGGAGCCAGGCAGCCCCATTCCAGCCCTGGTGCCTACTGCCAGAGGAAGCAGCACTGGGCTGGCCTTATCTGGTATGGGGGTGGGAGGGGCCCTAGGGCCAGTGGGAGGGACAGCTTGGCCAGTGGGGGTGGTGGCCAGAGATTGCCGGAAAGGGGCACAGCCTCAGGGGCCGGCTCTGGGCCTGGAATCAGTTCCGCCTTCTTCTCTTGGCGCCAGGGGAAACAGAGCCGGAGCAGCAGGAGGCCCAGAATACACAATGTTTTATTGAAAAAGTCAGGCCTCAGCTCACTGTTTCCATTCGGCTCAGCTTGGTGGGGGGCCCTGCCAGTAGTAGACTGAGCCAGATCTTCCTGCAGGCGGCTGGGCTGGACCCCCTCCCTGGCTACCCTTCCCTTCGTCTCTGATGGTGACGTCCAAACAATAAATATGCAATAAATAGCGCTCCTGGGCTGGGCTGGGCCAGCTACCTTCAAACCCCACTCGGCCCCCACCAGTCTTCTCTGGCCAGGACAGGCCTACTGGGGTGCTAGATGGTAAAGTCCCCAAACCTCCCAGGGTCCCCCAAGACCTCGGATCCATCTCCATTCAGAGGCCCAGACCTGGTTTCCAAGGAGACCTAGCAAAGCTGGGTCCAGGACAGGGCCAGGCAAACAGAGCTGGCAGGTGGGTGCTGGGAGGAGGCTGTTACCCCAGACCACAGCTTGTGATATCCCGGCCACGACCTCCACTCCAGGCCACAACACGACACTGGGCTCAGGAGTAGATGGTGATGACTTCACGGCCACCACCGCGCACCAATAGCACCCGCTCAAGGCCCTCAGTCAGCACCTCGAGGAACTCCATGTCTGCAGGACCTCGGGTCAAGGAGGCAGTACCAAGACCAAGAGGCAACCAGGCAACCACACCCACCCAAGGGCGCCTGGTAGAGGAGCTGCTGGCCTGACCTCCCACACTGTCTACCTCCCCACTGCCTGCCTCTCCACAAAGGGATACAGTTTTCGTCACCTTCGCTGTTCTTGGGTGGGCCAGGCATGTTTAGGAGAACCAGGCGGGCATCGTGGGAGCGCGTGACAATGACTTCATTGAGCTTCACAGCGGTGTGCATACGCCGTACATTGGATTGGTCCCTACATGTAGTGTAGCCAGTCACAGGTCACCATGAGCTGCCCTGGCCCACCTAACACAACTTGTCTGCCCCACCCCACCTCTGCCCCTAGATTCCAGCGCAGCGGGGTCTGTTTTTGCTGCACTTACGGCTTAATATGCACCAGCTCCCGGAAATTGTCAGGAGTGTGGCTGGGGTCCCAGGGCTCAGTCATGTACTTGTCCCTGGTCCATGTCATCTGGATCTTATCAGCCCCCACTGCGGACTCATCTTCCTCGTCCGAGTACAGGCCCTCTAGCCGCAGGGCCGAGTGCCGGTCCTTGACCAGCTGGGCCTGGTGACAATCAAAGGAGGTAGCCTTGGTGCCATAGGAAAAGGGGGATGGCGGCATGACTGACCCAATGTGACCACCCTGCTTCTGGGAAATGGGCACTGGCTTCGGTGGGGCTGTGCTGAGTCATTCTGATTCCTCCAGACCCACCACAGGGTCTCCAGAGGCCTGACCCTCCACCCACCCTGGCCTGAACCAAGAAGGGCACTGACTTCTCGCTCTCGCTCAGTCTTCGTCAGTCTCATCTGTCGCAGCATCTGTGACCGCTGCTCCATCATCAGCGTCCGCTCATAGGTATATGCAGAGATGTCGCTGTTATGCTGGGGACAAGGTAGGCTGTGAAGACCCAGCTGCATGGGACATGGTATCAAGGGGCCAGGGCAGGGGAGGGGGCTCACCATCTCCACCACTTCCACCTCGGCCTCAAGGCGCAGATGGTACAGGAAGACAGCCAGGTCCTTCTTCATCTGGATGCTGTTGTCGTCCATCTGGGCCACTGTGAAGATGCGCATCCGGCACTTCCTCCAGACCTGAGGCAAGGGACCGGGTGGGCGGTTTGGTCAGAGCTTCTCCAAGGGCCCAGCCCCTCTCATCCACCCCACCCCCAGCCCACCTTATGCTGGCGCAGCAGGAAGGGCAGAAGCATGAGCATGCCGCCATCATGCACGATCCACCACACGTCTATGTGGCCCTCCAGGTAGCGCTCGTGGTTGCTGGGGTAGAAAGCAATGTTCTTGGGCACAAGCAGGGCCAGGTGGGCAGCTGTGGTGCAGCGCACGGTGTCTGGGGAGGACAGGCACAGTTGACCACTAGCCTGTGGCCCTCTGGCCACTGCCACCTTACTTCGCCCCTGCCCACCAGTCCCAGCCCAGGCCTCAGGCCTTCACACACCAATGAAGGTCTTCCAGGCACGGGGGTCCTCGCTCTGTCGCCAGCCGTAGGGCCAGCCCAGCACCACGGAGTTATGCCGCATGCCGCCTAGCCCACAGGACTGGATGAGGTGGGCCAGCCCCTCCCGCACCTTGTTGGCCACCACCACCTGGCAGAAACCCTTCACCTTCTCAATCTCCATCATGTTCTTGATTGTCTGTGGGAAACATACCCGGGGCCGAGGGGAGGCCATCAGCTTCCCTTCTGCTGGGCTCCTTCCTAAGGCCCTTCCGGGAACAAAACGACTTTGGGGTGGAGGAGGGCCAGGGGGCAACAAGCTTGTCCACCTGGAGGCTAAGTTTTCAAGATGGGACTGCCAGCTCCCTCTTGTGCCAGCTCTCAGGTACAGCAGTGCTGGCTGCCCGGCCGGCCGCCCTGGGCAAGATTGGGCCCCTCCCCTTCGTGCCAGGTGCAATCCAGACCCCTATAGTCCAGTTCAGCTCTCACCCCCCGAAGCAGGTACCTGCTCAGCAGCCTGGGCCTCGCCATAGCTCTCCAAGAAGCTGCCCTGGATAACAGAGCCAACAATGGTCAGGCCCTTGCCGGCCTTGAGCTGGGAGGCGAAGGTGAGGAGCCGTGGGTACTTCACATGCAGGTCCTCGTCGAGCTTCAGCAGTACCAGCAGCTGCGGCCTGTGGTGGCCAGGTGCAGGGAGCCTGAGACCATGGCCAGCCTTTCCAGGGAGCCCCTCCTCTTCTTCCCTTCTCGGGTCATGGTCCCTGTGGGTTTGGGTAGCATGGCCCAGGAGGGTGCCCCTAGCAGCCCAGGACAGGGAGCCCAGACTGGGAAGGGGAGCTGGCACCTCTCAACCCTCTGTCCCTGACAGTGTCCCCTAAGAACCTCTGTGTCCTGGCCAGGGTCTGGTGGGAACTCACCGCCAGTTCTTGGTGTGAGGAGGCCCCTCTTCAAGCCGCAGCAGCGCGTAGCGGGCAGCGCTTAGGGACAGGCCTCGGATCCCATCACCCCACTCCTTCTCAGCCCTGCAGATTCCACAGCAGCTGGTGAGCCCCAGGTGCCACCCAGGGGATTCTGTCTATGTGGATGCAAGGTGGAGACGTTCTGCCCTCCAAGACCACCCAGGGGCCCTGAGTCATAGCCCTGAGTCCTGGCACCCACTGTGACCCAGCTCCCTACCCACTCCCACACCAGACCCTCGCCTGCTTGGCTGGGCCCCCTCAAGGCTGTGCAGGCTGCAGGCATAGGCCAGGTGGCAGCCGCTTACTCACCCTTGGTACTCGATGTACTTGTAGATCATGCCGGCGATGAGCATGGCCACCAGGGCATAGTACCAGGAGGAGACAAACATGAGGGCCAGGCAGAGGCTCATGCCCAGGAAGGACAGCGCCCTGGGCCAGAGGGGAGGGCAGAATCAGGGCAGGACCAGGAGGGTCCCAGGCAACAGCCTGGCCCATGTCCTGGTGGCTCTGTCACGTCCCAGGTCATATACTGGATGGGAGACACAGGTCCAGCTCCCGCAGCCCCATAATCTCCCTTCCCACAGTATTTCATCAAGAGCTACCTGCCCAGGAAGTCCAAGCCTCATCCAGAATGAGGCTCCTGGCCTCCCCAGGCCTCCCATGTCAGAGGCGTGGCTCACCAGTGATAGTACTTGAATCGGGGCCGCCAGTTGGGGGTCCTCAACAGCGTCTGCACTGCACAGGCCAGGTTCACGAACAGGTAGCACATCAGAAAGAACCTGCGGCACAGGGGGTGGTTGGCTCAGAGCAGCCTCCTCGGCAGCCAGAGATTTGATGTCAGGCTGGGCCTGGCCCAGAAATGGGGCGCGACCCACCCTCCCTGGCTCGGCCAGCTCTTCTCAACCTCATTGCCCCCACTTCCATGGCCTGAGGCGATAAGACTACACTGGGGGAGTCCTTGGAGCCAGATAACTGAGGATGGGTGAGGGTTCGCCCACGGAGGAGGTGGGAAGGGGAGTGACAGGGCAGAGCTGAAGAGAGTGGTGCTGGGTGGCGGGAAGAGCTCTGCGTGGAGACTCTGGGCCACACTCAGGACTCTGGCCTGGGCAACAAGCTAGATGAGGGGCTGCCAGGCATGAAGGGGAGGATACAGGATAAAGTGGACCGTTTGAATGCACTTAAGTCAGACACTTAAGAGACCAGGCGGTGGGTATGGGAATCTGAGGCGTGGGCAGGGCCGGCTGTGTGAGCCCTCTGGGAGGACAGCTGAGGGTGGGTGCACAGGAAGGCAGGAGAACCCACATGGGGCAGGGCAGGGGGCAGGGGCTCCCATGAGAGGGAGATGGTATGAGTCCCTTCAGGCACTGCCAGCAGGAGGCTCGAGATAAAGGCTGAGATGTAGCCTCTTACTTGGGCACGAGGGGTCACCACCCAAGACAGCTATGGCCGGTTTCAGCTGCACTTATGTGAGGGGCAGGGATGGGGTTGGGGAATGAGAGGGTGCTGGCTCCAGCAGGCCTGGCTGTAGCTAGGGCAGAGGCTGCTCAGGGAGACAGGGACCTGTCAAGTTTGCAGGCTGAAGGGGCAGGGAAGGGGAGGCCGTTGATAGCCACACAAGCAAGAAGGAGCATTGGTCACAGAGCAGGGTAGCGAGGACCTCAGACTGGGCAGAGGTGAACACTGCAACCAAACAGGTGCTGCCTCGGGGACCCTGGGAGTCTCCACATGCTGGCCACTCCCTGCAATGCACTGGCATGCAGAATTGCCTGGCTGATTCCAGAATGTTAAAAGCAAATGACTTTGAAATAGATGGGCTGGGCACGGTGGCTCACATCTGTAATCCCAGCACTTTGGCATAGCAAGGCCAGTGGATCACCTGACATCAGGAGTTCGATACCAGCCTGGCCAAGATGACGAAACCCCATCTCTACTAAAAATACAAAAAATTAGTTGGGCATGGTGGCAGACGCCTGTAACTTCAGCTAATCGGGAGTCTGAAGTAGGAGAGTTGCTTGAACCCTGGAGGCGGAGGTTGCAGTGGGCCAAGATTGCACTACAGCCTGGGCAACAAGAGCAAAACTCCGTCTCAAAAAAAAAAAAAAAAAAAAAAAAAAAAAAAAAAAAAAAAAAGGATGGAAGGGGCAGTAGTGGCTTCATGGAGGTATGAGGGATGTGGTGCTTGTCCTGTCCAGGGGGAGGTCTGCTGGCCACCTGCTCTGGGGGCTCTCTCATGGACATGTGAACCTGTTGGTCACTTTATAGCTTTGGCGTAGGTGCCAACCTGCTCCTAAATGCAGGAGTGGGCTGAGCCATGCCAAGCCACATCTCCCAGCTGTGCCCCAACATCAGACACAGCCACAGGGAGGTGCTGGGTTTCAGGGAGCTTTTCCGAGACCATCCCCCTGCCCTGCCCAGCCCCAGCTCACATGGATAGGATGGGGGCCACCATGTCGAGGGAGGCGATGAGGATGCCCAGCTCGGCGATGAGTGCTGTCAGGAGGAGTGCCCATGTGGGTTCGCCATTCACCTTCCCGTGGCCAAACACCTGCATACATCAGGAAGGAAGCTGGTCCTGTCATCCCCATTCCACACCTTGGGCCCCAGGACCCAGCCTGGCCTTCTTCACTCCCAAGGCCCTCCTCAGGGGCTCAGGCTATCTCTGTGCCTACCCACGTGAGTGTTACCAGTCACCCTGACTCCACCTCACCAAGCCTCTCTCCTTTAGATGAGTCTTAAACAGGCCATGAAGATTCTGGGTCTAGACAACTCCAGGCCCAGGACAGTGCCAGGCCCAGGGCAGTTCTCAGTAGTTCCTCATGGACAGCGCCTGGCCCAGAGGTTACTGAAGGCAGGACATGCTGCATCTGTGTTCCCTATCTCTCTCCCCAGCCAGGCCATGGGGGAGTGCAGAGGGGCTCACCCGGAGGAAGGGGATGATGTTGTCCTTGGCAATGGCCTGCAACAGGCGTGGTGCCCCCGTGAGGCTCTGGAGGCCAGCGCCACAGGTTGAAAAGAAGGAGCCAATGACGATGACCCAGGGTGAAGGCCAGGCCAGTGTGCCCACCACCAAGTTCCTGCTGACACCATCCCCGTACCTGCAGGGGCCATCAGAGTGAAGGATGTCAGGGGTCCAGAAGGATGGCACAGACCACCAAGGGCAGCCAGCAGCCTAAGGACCACCCATGGGGTTGAGGGCTGGTGTGAGGGCAGGCCAAAGCTGAGCTGCTGCTACAGGGAGGGTCCCAGCTCACTCACTTGTCCCGAAGAACCACACCTTCGATGCAGGCGCCAAAGAGAACCACACTGCTGAAGTCTGGAGCGGCGTCAAGGAAAGCTCGGCCTCTGCCACCCCACGGTCCCCAAATAGGACCACGTGACTCCACCCCAGCCATAGACCACTGGGATATCTACAGCTGGGGATCTCACGGTGTGTGTGTGTGTGTGCGTGTGTGTGTGTGCGTGCATGAGAAGGAGAGCTATGTGAGTATGTGGGGTGTCTGTACATGCCACCTGGTGACTTACACAGGCCAAGTGCCTCCTGTCCTCCACCCCACCTGCCCCAGGCCTGGGAAAGGATACACACGAGGGAAGTTGTAATGATGGCCAGAATGGTCCCCACCGGGATGGACTTCTGGGCATCACGGAGGTCCCCAGAGCGGTTTGAGCCAGCCATGATGCCTCCAAAAACAGATGAGACTCCCTCAGGGGATCAATGGGACTGGGGACAGGGCTGGGTGGGTGGGCAGGCGGGGCTCACCTGTTACAGAAGGGAAGAAGATGCCGACCAGCACGGTGAAGGATGTGGCGATGTCAGCCACCACATATAGAGGCAAGCTCTCCTTTAGGCTCGGGGCATCTGTAGAGGGCAGCCCGTGCTTCTCCACGATGTCACCCTTTTCCAGGTAGGCACTCCACAGGTTTTCTGCAGTGGGAGTCGCGTCATCACCACAGCCGCCCCCCACTAACCCAGGCAGTTTGGGGCAGCCTAGTCAGCGGATGCAGATGCAGGGAAACTTTAGGGACTCAGGGGACAGCTTCAGCCCACGGACTATAGCTCCAGCCACAGGGGTTCCCTGACCACAGGGAAGGAGTTGCCCAGCTAAAAGTCAACAGAAAAAGGTGGCTGAACCACCATCACCCAGAGCCCCCACTGCCTGCCTTGCAGACAGAGGCCCTTTATGGATCCTGTGGGAACGTCCCCAGGCAGGGTCAGGGGCTGGTGGCTGGGAAAGACAGGCGGCTGCAGGCCTGGGATGCTGGCCAGACAGGCTCTGCTCACCCCAAACTCGGCTGCCAGGAGCCAGGCAGAGAGGACACTGCTGGGCTGGGAAGGCAGCCAGTCCTGCCCCCATTCCCATGCTGGCCACACAAGGACAGCTCTGTGCTCTGCACCCCTGCTCAGCCTGTGGGCTCAAGAGCAGGTGGACAGGAGGGTGGACCCACCCTGGAGCACACCAGCAGCTGCCCCGGGGATGCCAGGGATCTCGGTCACATTGTTAAGCAGGAAGTAGGAGTCGCAGGAGTCGGTGGTAAGGTTGTGGCTGTGGCAGAAAAAACTCCATAGCTGGGTGGCCACTGTCTCGTTGTCCACCACAGCTGTCTTGGCACAGACATCAAACTGGTCCCGGGACAGGGTCCTATTGCCCAGCATGCATACCCTGTGAGGGACAGAAGCATTGGCACCTGCTCAACTCAAGGTCCCAGCCTATGCCCACCCTGCAGTCTCTGCAATCTGGGGCATCGAAGGCTGGTTACATGGGAGGGATGTCCATGCAATGCCCAGATAAATTCCTGGGTTACTTACGGAAACACAGGAGGGTCAAAAATAGACTTGATGCCCCCAGCATAGATGGAGAGGATGGAGATAATCACACAGGCCAGGAAGAGCGAGGCAAATTTGTTCACATACTTGACTCCCACAAACACCACCAGGGTCATGAAGATCAGGAAAACGGTCCCATACACACGCATATTGTTCAAAGTGGCACTCGACGTGTCATGAGCACCCGTTGGGTAAAAAATGGCAGCTGGTGGGGCAATGTAGGTCTGAAATAAGAAGATGGGTAAGGAGGGTTTTCTCTTCTTATTTGGAAAGTGAAACTCGTCTTTTTTTTTTTTTTTTTTTAAAGAGTACCTAAAGGAGGCTAGGTGCAATAGCTCACACCTCTAATCCCAGCAATTTGGGAGGATAAGGTGGGTGGATCACTTGAGGTAAGCAGTTCATGACCAGCCTGGCCAACATGGAGAAACCCCGCCTTTACTAAAAATACAAAAATTAGCTGGGCGTGGTGGTGCATGCCTGTAATCGCAGCTACTTGGGAGATTGAGGCTAGAGAATTGCTTGAACCGAGGAAGCGGAGGTTGCGGTGAGCAGAGATCACACCACTGCACTCTAGCCTGGGTGCCAGAGGGAGATTCTGTCTCAAAAAAATAAAAAATAGCCGGGCGCGGTGGCTCAAGCCTGTAATCCCAGCACTTTGGGAGGCCGAGGTGGGTGGATCATGAGGTCAAGAGATCGAGACCATCCTGGTCAACATGGTGAAACCCCGTCTCTACTAAAAATACAAAAATTAGCTGGGCATGGTGGTGCACGCCTGTAGTCCCAGCTATTCGGGAGGCTTAGGCAGGAGAATTGCTTGAATCCAGGAGATGGAGGTTGCGGTGAGCCGAGATTGCGCCATTGCATTCCAGCCTGGATAACAAGAGTGAAACTCCGTCTCAAAATAAATAAATAAATAAATAATAAAAAATAAATAAAAAATAGGCTGGGTGCAGTGGCTCACGCCTGTAATCCCAGCACTCTGGGAGGCCAAGGCAGTGGATCACTTGAGGTCAGGAGTTTAAAACCAGACTGGCCAACATGGTGAAACCCTGTCTCTACGAAAAATAAAAAAATTAAGCTGGCCGTAGTGTTGCACACCTGTAAAATCCCAGATATCAGGGAAGCTGAGGCAGGAGAATCACTTCAACCTCAGTGGCAGTGGTTGCGATGAGCACAGATCCCACCACTGCACTCCAGTCTGGGCAACTGAGTGAGACCCTGTCTCAAAAAATGAATAGGCTGGGTGCGTGGCTCACACCTATAATCCCAGCACTCTGGGAGGCTGAGGCAGGCAGACTGCCTGAGCTCAGGAGTTGAGACCACTCTGGGCAACATGGTGAAACCTTGTCTTTACTAAAATACAAAAACTTAGCTGGACATGGTGGGGTGTACTTATAATCCCAGCTACTTGGGGGAGTGAGGCAAGAGGATCGCTTGAACCCAGGAAGCGGAGGTTGCAGTGAGCTGTGATCGCACGACTGCAATCCAGCTTAGGCAACAGAGTGAGACTCAGTCTCAAAAAAAAAAAAAAAAAAAAAAACAGAAAAAATAAGAGTACCTAAAAGAAGCCAGTCACAAAAGGCCACATATTGTATGATTCTGTTTATATGAAATGTCCAGAATAGGCAAATCCCAAGGCAGAAAGCAGATTCGTGGTTGCCAGGGCTGGCAGGGAATGGAGGGTGACTGGTAATGGGGGTTCTTGGGATGATGAAAATGTTCTGAAATTGACTGCACAACTCTGTGAATATACTAAAAAAACCACTGAATTGTACACTTTCAATGGTATGTAAATTGGTATGGGAATTGCATGGTATGTAAATTATATGTTAATAAAGCTGTTATTTGAAAACAAGCAAACAAAAGGGATCCAGACATAGATGCCAACAGTTTGAGCAACAAAATAAATAATGATAGTATTGGTTTACAACCCAAGAATAAAGTAAATATCCAGAAGTCCATACACATATAATGACGTGGCTGAATAAATAAGAAGGAGAAGGGATAAATCCCAAATAATGTAGAAGGAATATGAGAAATGAAAACAAACCAAAATCCCCCCAAAATCAGAAGATCCAGGTACAGGATCCATGTTGCAGGTAGAGGACCTGGAGGCAAGAACAACCAGGCAGCCCCTCTAAGTATCTCCTACTCTCTGGATCCCCAGGGGTGGGCACCTGTCACCCTGTGTCTCCCATAGCTCCTCCACCTCTTCTCCCACTGCTGTGGCAGTTCAGTGGGGAATGAGAAGCTGAGGCTGAGACAGCTCCCATGGGGCTCATGGAGGGAGCACTGACCTCCAGCAGGGTCCTGTGGCTGCTTACCCTGATTGAAGGATGAGAAGCTGGATTTGAAGTGCCCTGGCACAGACCCCTGGGGTACACAGAGCTGGCCAGAGCCCATACAAGCTCAGAAGGAAGTCTGCATCACCACCAAGATCTGTCACTGAGCCAAATACAAGTTCATGGAACCCTTGCCATGGATGCAATGGTACCCAGGTGGATGGAACATCCAGGGCCGAGGTGAAAGCAGCCAGGCCTCTCTCCTGCCTGGCCCAAACTGGCATGGAGGCAAAAGAAGATTGCCCTGAGCAAAGGTTTTTGTCTCTCAAAGAGGCCTCCTACTTTATAACGCCCAGACCTTGGCCAGAGGTGAGGGGGAATAAACAGCCTGGGCCTCTGTTTGGAGTCCAAAGGGACTGTTTGGACATGACCAGAGTTGGCCAGGGCTCAGCCTGACTCACCAGCAAGATCTCGATGGCCCCGAGGATGTACATGGCTGCTGCGAATGTTGTTCCCAGGTAGAAGCACAGGCCCACAGCACCTCCAAATTCTGGCCCCAGTGAGCGGGAGATCATGAAATAGGAGCCTCCAGCTACAGCAGGGAAAGGAAAGTATGCACAGGTCAAGGCTGGTTCTTCCTCAAAGGGTCTCCCTGTAACAAGCCCTCACAACCGCCCAGAGGACAGGGACTGCTTTTCCCATTTATGGATTCGTAGAAGGGCTAGGAGACCTGCATGGCGGGTAAGCAGCCAGGCTGGCATTTGATCCTATCCCCATCTGACTTGAATGTCCAGCATGGCCCAGGGAAATGACTGCTTTGCTGGGGCAGTTCTAGTCTGCAGCAGTGGCTGTGGCCACTGTCCTCCAACTCCCTGCATGCGACCCACAGCCTCCTCTGACTGGGTGTGTCCTATATCAGCCCACCTCACCCTTCTGAGGCCTGTGCCTTTTTTAGTCTGACCCCTCCAGACCACAGCAGGGACTGTGTCTCATCGAATCTTTTGCCCCTAAGGCCCAGCACAGGGCCTGACACGAGGTGAGTGTCCACGGCTCCTGCCCAGAGTCTCTGCTTCTGTCAAAGCCTAACACCCTTGCAAGACTCAGAGAGTCATCACTGGGCCCCAGGGTGATAAGCACAGGGAGACAGGAGTCATCTCATGTTGCTGGTTGTATTTGCTGTTGAGACAATGTCTCTGGTAAAAATCTGGGAACAGGGATCAAGAAATTCTTATAAAGAGTCAGTCTTGGCCGGGCGCGGTGGCTCAAGCCTGTAATCCCAGCACTTTGGGAGGCCGAGGCGGGTGGATCACAAGGTCGAGAGATCGAGACCATCCTGGTTAACATGGTGAAACCCCATCTCTACTAAAAATCCAAAAAAAAAAAAAAAAAAAAAAAATTAGCTGGGCATGGTGGCATGTGCCTGTAATCCCAGCTACTCAGGAGGCTGAGGCAGGAGAATTGCCTGAACCCAGGAGGCGGAGGTTGCAGTGAGCCGAGATCACGCCATTGCACTCCAGCCTGGGTAACAAGAGGGAAACTCCGTCTCAAAAACAAAAAACAAAAAACAAAAAAAAACCAGTCAGTCTTTGTTTTGTGAGTTACCAGGAAAAAAAAAAAAAAGGATCAGTCTTGGCCGGGCACATGGTGGCTCATGCCTGTAATCCCAGCATTTGGGGAGGCTGGGGTAAGTGGATTGCTTGAGCTCAGGAGTTCCAGACCAGTCTGGGCAACAAGGTGAGACCCGTCTCTACTAAAATAAGGAAATTATAAAAATATAAATTAAAAAAAAAAAAAAAAGGCCAGGCATGGTGGCTCACGCCTATAATACAAGCACTTTGGGAGGCGGAGACAGGCAGATTGCTTGAGCTCAGGAGTTTGTGACCAGCCTGGGCAACAGGGTAAAACCCTGTCTCTACTAAAATACAAAAAATTAGCTGGGCGTGGTGGCATACGCCTGTAGTCCTAGCTACATGGGAGGCTGAGGCAGGAGGAGAATGGCTTGAACCCAGGAGGTGGAGGTTGCAGTGAGCCAAGATCATGCCACTGCACTCCAGCTTGGCGACAGAGAGAGACTCTGTCACACACACACACAAGTCAGCTGGGCACAGTGGCTCACGCCTGTAATCTCAGCACTTTGGGAGGCCAAGGCAGGCGGGTTACTTACTTGAGGTCAGGAGTTCGAGACCAGCCTGGCCAACATGGTAAAACCTTGTCTCTACTAAAAATACAAAACTTAGCTGAGCGTGGTGGTACATGGCTGTAATCCCAGCTACTCTGGAGGCTGAGGCAGGAGATTCGATTGAACCCTGAGCTGAGATTGTACCACTGCACTTCAGCCTGGGCATCAGAGACTCCGTTTCAAAATAAAATAAATAAATAAATAAAAAGTATTCTTCATGCTGTAATCCATCTCCAGGACCCTTTCCTAAGGGAACTGCTGGGCATGAACAAAGATTCAAGTTCAAGGATGTTCATGACAACAATGTATACAATGGTGAAAAAGTGGAACCCACAGGCTGGAGAATAATCACATTATTTATGGTCTACCATAGAGAATCCTGTTTTCAAAAAACCATTTTTGGCAGGGCGCAGCAGTTCACATCTGTAATCCCAGAACTCTGGGAGGCAGAGGTGGGTGGATCACTTAAGGTCAGGAGTTCAAGACCATCTTGGCCAACATGGTGAAACCCTGTCTCTACTAAAAATACAAAAATGTGGTGGGCACCTGTAATCCCAGCTACTCTGGATGCTGAGGCATGAACATCCCTTCGAATTGCTTAAACTGCTGACCGATGTGGCTCAAGCCTGTAATCCCATCACTTTGCGAGGTCAAGGCAGGCGGATCACCTGAGGTCAGGAGTTTGAGACCAGCCTGACCAATGTGGAGAAACCCCATCTCTACTAAAAATAAAAAAATAGGCGTAATAGCACATGCCTGTGATCCCAGCTACTTGGGAGGGTGAGGCAGGATAATTGCTTGAACCTGGGAGGTGGAGGTTGCAGTGAGCCGAGATCGAGCACTCCAGCCTGGGCAACAAGAGTGAAACTCCATCTCAAAAAAAGAAGAAAGAAAGGAAAAAAGAATTGTTTAAATCTCGGAAGCAGAGGTTGCAGTGAGCTGAGATCATGCCACTACAGTCCAGCCTGGGTCACAGAGCAAGACTCTGTCTCAGAAAAAAAAAATAAAAAACAAAAAACCATTTTCAACACTTGGGAAACATATACACACATGTATACATGTAAACATATACACACACATGCATATGTATATATACCACACATATACTTTTGGGAAATACAGATATATATATATATATATATAATTTACATAGAGTGTGCATGTGCAATATTTCATAAGACCCTAAGACCTATATATACCAAAAGGCAAATAGTAATGATCTCAGGATTGTGGGATTATGGGTGCTCTTGATTTTCCATTCTACACTTTTCTGCACTTTCAAACCCTCTTATGGTAAACATACATTGCCCTTTCTTCTTAGTATTGCTTTTATACTAACAAAAACCCAACAGCACTCTCCAACTCTGTCAAGCAGGGAAGCTCCTAAGTGGACACTGTCCTAGCATCAAGGACTAGGATCCCACTACAGAACTGCTTGGGGCAGGGTTGAGCTATGGGGGTTCCCAGGCAGGTCAAGGCAGAGTCTGGGCCCTTTTCTCCTCCACCAGGCCTTGGGTGGTGCTCACTGACCTGGAACTACACCGTTGGTGGCAATGGCGCTCATGGAGATGGCCGTCAGCAGGGTCTGTGGGAAGGAGGGCAGGGGTGAGCGGCTCAGCTGGGTGGGCTGTGTGGGGACAGCCGTGGCCCATGCCCAGCCCACCCCAGCCACACCAGGACACTCACACAGCAGCAGCAGATGAGCACGATGAGGAGGGCCTGCAGCACACCGGCCGTGCCCACCATCCAGGTCAGCCGTAGGAAGAGGATAACCCCGAAGATATTCTGCAGGCAGGGCAGGTACACCCCCATGAGGGTGCCCATGCTGGGCGCCTGTGCAGACACGAAGGGAGGGAGTGAACAGAGCATCAGAGGGATGCATCATGGAGGGTCAGCCCTAGTCACTCAGCAGCCCCCTCTCCCAGTGGGGCCCCAGGGAATACAGCAGTTAGGTGTGACAGCCAGGATGCAGAAAGTCTCTACTAAAGACTTAACGCTACTGACTTACATATAGGAAGACAGTTGGGTCTTGAAGGTGTAAAACCTGATTCTTTTCAAAACCCCACAGTGAGCTTTGGAACATTCACTCTCTCTCAATATACTGCCTTCTTCCCTTATCTCTTCTGTTAAACTTTTAGAAAGAGGGGTTTGTCTCAGATCTCCACCTTCTCGCCTAGCAGGCCCTAAGTCACATAAGCCAAAGTCCAAGAAGTCACCCCTAGCCCTCCCTCTCCTCAACCCAACTGCAGTCCTGGTAGACATCAACTCCTACCCAGTCTGCCTCCCTGCTACCCTGATATTAGCCTGCCTTGTCCCAGCCTTAGTCCCTTGAACCTGGGGCACCTGGGTGGTGCCCTCCTGAGCCTGTCAACCTCTCCACACTCCAGCCCACTCTGCTTCTAGGGTAGGTCTCTGAAAGCAAGTCCAATCTCATCGCCCATGCTGAAAACCCTCTGTGTTGTCTTGTAATCCAGTGTACAGTCCAGACTCCTTGGCTTGGGCCACCAGATGTGTCCCACCACATCTTTTATTAGCCCCAGTCCCTGACCATGTGGGTCCCTCGGATTCTCCAAACCTGAGAATGTGCTGGACTCTGCCTGGGAGAGTCAGGCCTGCCTCACGGCCTGGCAAACTCCTCTACAGTGAGACTTTCAGGAGGTTTAACTGTTTTTGTTGGTGGTGGTGGTTTGTTTTCAAGCGGAGTTTCTTTTTTTTTTCTTTTTTCTTTTTTTTTTAAGACAGGGCTTCACCATGTTGGTCAGGCTGGTCTTGAACTCCTGACCTCAGGTGATCCACCTGCCTTGGCCTCCCAAAGTGCTGGGATTACAGGTGTGAGCCACTGCGCCCAGCCTCAGGAGGTTTAACTGTCAACCTCTGCCAGGCAGACGTCCCCAGGCTGCCGGAGGTGAAGTTGGTCCTCCCTCCTACATTCTTTAGGCATCTGATATTCCCTACCACAGTGGTTACTACAGGTCATGGTAACAGACTGTACTTGTATGTTCTGTGACCACATTAGGGCAGACTTAGCTTGTTTATGGTTCTATCACCAGCAAGACCTGCAGATACCCAAAAGGTGCTTCTGAACCCAGTGAGTGGTGATTTGGAAGCCCCTGGGACATCCTGTTGGAAAAATCCTACAGAGAAAGTACTCAGGCTGTAGGGCAGGTGAGGAAGATCTAATGTACAAATCCAGGCAGGTTTTCTCATCTCAGAGCAAAGTAGGGGCCAGCCAGGAGGCCAGGGCAGAGGCTGAGAGCACAAAGGCTGGCTGACATCTTCTTGAGGCACTGAGCCCCCAAGAGCGCAGCCTTCGCAGTGATACCCTGACAGCTTCCACCGGAGCAAAGCCTCCTCACTGAGCCAAAGGACTGGATTAGTGAAAATCATCAGGGAGAGGGGACAGGAAAGCCCCCGAAGACAGTGCCAGTGCTGCCCTGAAGCTAGAGAGAAGAGAACTCCATGGCCGTGATCCTGTCTAGCTGAGTCACCTTAGACAAGCTCCTTAATGCCCCTCCTGAAGGGTCCTGGCCTGGGGCAGGACCTGTGAGCGACCTAAAGGACTTCAGAAGAGCCTCAGCAAAAACAAATGGCTCCTCAACATTTGTTTGAGGAGCAGTGCAGGGGACAGATCCCTCTCATCTGGGCTTTGTCTGAGCCCTTCTCAGAGGATGCCACCCACTGAATAGTGTCAGCAAGAGCTCCCAGTCCCACCCCCATCCTAGGCTGAGTCACTCTGAGAAAAGGGCAGTGTGGGAAAGGGCAGGGCGGGCCGGAAATGCTTTCTGCATCCCCAAATAACCTCTGGCAGCCTCAGGAGGTCATCAGGCTGGAACTGGAGCTGAAGCAGCTACTGGGGAGAGGCTGCTTTGGGTCTCGGAGTGGTCTGGTCGGAGACCCACCCTTCCTGCTTCAAGCTTTCCTTTCCCAAGGCCCCTGCTCAGGGCTGCCCTGGCTGAGGACCACAGCTCAGCAGCCCCAGATCCCTAGCTTCCTACTGACTCCTTAAAGACTTAACCAGGCTCATCCTTCTTCCATGAAAAAAACCACTGGAGCTAGGACACCCAGCCACCCTCTCTCCTCCTTACCCTAAGGCCAGGTAAGCTGAATAAGCTAAGCATCCTCATGGGTTCCCCATTGGGCCAAGGAAGGATGGGCCTTCTCCGGCCCAGGCATCCCTCCTAAACTCCTGCTGAGATGTGCACCAGCCTTTCTTAGGGGCCTCTTCACTCCAAGCCACTAGCCCCCTGGCTTGGCCTGAAGGGACGGGGATGAGGCTGTGACCTAAGGAGACCATCACCCACTGTGGGCAGCACTCTCAGATGTTGAGACACCCCTGCAGTGCTGGACAGAGATGACCAGATGTAATTAGGGTTCTCTGCTATCTAGTCCAGAACATGCCAACAAAATCACACATGGCTGGATAGGGTCAGGGTCAGGTCTGTGCCACCTCAAGGTATCAGCTGCCCTCTCTGAAGTGTGGGCTGGTTTGCCTCCCCGAAGGGTAAGGTCAGAGGCGTGCTTCAGCAAGGTCTACCTTCTCTGCTGGCCCCACCCCAGCAAGCCCCAAATCTCTGGAGCAGGTGTGAGGCTAGAGGCCTGGCTTATCCCAGCCGGGAGCTCCTTCTGCTTGTGCCGACCTCCAAGAATACTACAGCCAGTGCCAGACCTCAGCTCCTCCCCAAACACCACTGCTTTCCAAACCTCAGGGAGTCAGTATGTAGAGAGGGAAGGTCCCTTACCTCCAAAACAAAAATGTACAAAAATCCCCAGCCCTCAGCTATACTGAGTCCCATGACACAGAGGAGCCAGGCTAAGAGATAACAGTCACCCTAAAGAGAAGAGGGCTGAATGGCCAGAGAACTGGATTCGTGACCAAAAAGGACAGGGAAGCCCCACAAGGCAGCATCAGGCTCCAATCACATATACTAGTCCCCCGACCCTGGCACTCAAGGAACCCAGGGGGTTGTTGGAGGGTTCTGCCAATGGAGCCTCAGGCCAACACTGCAAGTGGCAGGAGGGTTTGTGGCTTGCTCTAGATATCTTGGCCTCCGAGAGACAACCTGGTTCCTGGCTCCGAGGGTAACACCCTTAGCCACCCTCACACAATGTCATTGATCTGGCATTTTGCATAGTTACTTATCCCACAAATCTGTCTCCCAAAAAATCCACAAACCCATCTCCCAGCATTACACAGTGATCTTGTCTCACTGAGTCACCTTAGACAAGTTCCTTAATGTCCCTGACCCTGCCTCCTCATCTGAAAAGCAAGGACGATAGTAGCACCAGGTCTCGGTTTTGTTGTGCGGATGACATGTGAGAACCCAGGCCCACTGCTTGCTGTGGCGCCTCACACACAGTAAGGGCTGAGTATAGGCAGCTGTGGCTCCCGCTGTCATTACTGAGGGCCTCCCTGGCCCTCTGCCTCTGGGGAGATTCTCATTAGCTTGCTTCTTGAAGCCTTCTGAGCCAAGGCATTCAGTGCCCATCCTCCCTGCTCACCATGCTTCAAACCCACTCCCCATGGGGTGCTCACCACCATGTGGGGAAACAGCCAATTCTATGGTGTTTTGTCTGTCTTCCCAGGTATAGCCCCTCTGTTGCCCCAACCAGCTCACCTCGGCTGCCCTCCGGCGGGTGCCCTCCCCACTCTCAGCCTCCTCATGCTCCTTGGCGCCTTGGGTGAGGTTGGTGTAGCTGACAAGCTTGCCCAGAAGAGACGATACCTTTGGGCGGATGTCCAGTTCTTCCTGTAAACAGAGCCACAGGGCAAGATGGCATTGGGCCAAGCAGGCGCCAGTTGTGCATAGCCAGCTGCCTGGTCCCTGGCCCTGTTCCAAGCCCTGAGGCAGGCCTGGGCCTGATCCCAGTTCTTCCCTGGGGAAGCCCAAGCCATCCAACTGGGCAGGTGTGGGCACCGCACCCCAGCACGTGGCACTCAAAGGCCCAGCCCCGTGGCTGCTTTTCTCTGCTTCACCTTGGCTGCAATCACTGCCAGCCCATTTGTGAAAACTACCTGCCTCAGGGAAGAGAGGGCAGGGCAGAACACGACTGGCAGGCAGGCAATGGCATACTTCATCCTGCCTGCTCTGCCTGGCGACCTCCCAGCTATGGCTGCACTTCCAGGACTCACATCTACCCTCCCCACAAAAAAGCCACCCTAGTCACCTCAGGAACTCAAAGAGGGCAAAAGAGCAATGTCTGGGACAAGTGAAGTCTCCCTTGTCTGCCCAAACCCTCATCTCCCTGGAGGGTCTTCCCTGATCTCAGTCCTGCAAGTACCCACATCAATTGCAGAGATGGGATCCTGACCTTCCAGCCCATCCTCAGGCATGGCTGGGCCAAGGCCTTCACTGCAGAACCTTGCTGCTTTCCCAGGTCAGGAGGCCTCCCAGGGCTCAGGCTCCCCAGCCCCAGAAGGGTCTAGGTTATGATCCCTACTCCTGCAGCCTTCTCAGTGCTGTGCCTCCACCTTCCTCCTGCCCACATTTAGCCTTTCCCACTCTGTCAGCTCCCTTCTGACCTACCCACAGGAAATAGTTGCTTTGGCCTGAGAAGGACAGATGTGGAAAATGAGGAGCCTCAGCTGGATGCTGTGGCTCACAGTGGTAATTCCAGCACTTTGAAAGGCCGAGGGAAGAGGATCACTAGAGGTCAGGAGTTCAAGAACAGCCTGGCCAACATGGTGAAACCCTGTCTCTACTAAAAATACAAAAAGTAGCCAGGCATGGTGGTGGGCACCTGTAATCCCAGCTACTTGGGAGGCTGAGACAGGAGAATCAGAGCTTTGGAGGTGGAGGTTGCAATGAGCCAAGATTGTGTCACTGCACTCCAGCCCAACCTGGGGTGAAGAGTGAGACTCTGTCTCAAAATACACACACACACACACACACACACACACACACACACACACAAACAAAGAGAGAGAGAGATTGAGGAGTCTCCATTATTCAGCCATGCAGTGGCTGAATGTGTGGGTCAGAGTTTAAGAGCTTAAAGGAGCTTAAACTGCATCTTAAATCCAGATCTCACTGCTTAGCATGAGTCTGAAAAAGATAACACTCAAGTACAGAGACAAATATTTGAGAATCTTTCCAGAGACGGATCCCCTAAAGCTGCAAATGTAGAAGTGGGAGCAGATCCAGTGGAAAGGACCAGGCCTCAGTGAACTAGAAGGGGACAGAGTCGGAAGAGCCAACCATGAAAGACAAGGAAGAATCCATGGGAGAGCGAAGAACCACAGACTTGGAGAAGAACCAGGAGTGGAGGGAAGAGGAGAAATCCTGAGTTGGGAAATCCTGAGCTGGTGTTTCCTTGCTGAGGGGTTGTAAGGAAGTCAGAGGTGAACAGCCCTGGAGGTAGCAATGGGGGTGGGGTTGTCAGTGGCCTCTGGGAAGGCAGCTTCAGCTAAAAGGGCCGAGAGAACTGCAGCCTGGCTGCCACGAGAACCAGGAAGACAAGAAGAGACAAGAGGACGAGTGAGACAGAGAAGCCCAAGTGTCCAGCCTGCCTGCTTAGCTAAAGGCCCTGTCTGCCAAACCTGTGGCCCAAAATGGCTTCTCAGCTACCTCAAACAGTGCCAGGTTCCTGTCATAGTAGTCACTTCCTCTGGAAGCCTCCAAGGGAGAAAGAAAAGGGCTGCTCTCTCTGTGGTTGCCATGTCCTGTGAAGAGAGAGGAACAATCAGAGCCTGCTTCCTGAGTCCACAGCCTGTGCCCCTTCCCAGATGGCCAGTCCCCAAAACATAATCACTGTAAAGAACTTTGGAGCTGCGGTGTTACCAGGTTGGAACTCAGTTTCCACAAAGCACTCTGCCAGCGCCCTTGAAGGGCTAGAGATAGCCAGGGAGTGGCCAGTGACCAAAACCTGGGACATCATTCCCTCCAGTGAAGGCCATCCAGGTGAAGGCGCAGGCGCCCTAGCGCAAGCACGTGTGGCCACCAAGGGGAGGGGGCCTGCAGAGGGGCGGGGCCAGGCCTTGACCCGTCCCCAGATCCCCTCCACGCCCATCCCTTTTCTGGCCTTTCCGGAGTACCCAATGTGCAGGATGCCAAGAGCTCAGTGTCCTCAGGGACCGCCAGGGCAGTGCCCTCCAAATATATGAAGCTACACAGAGCGCCTTCATCTGCCATGGCCTGAAGGTGGCCGGCTGGCTACCCAACCATGCACTGCAAGGAGACATCCTGCAGGGCAGCCCGGGGCATATCGGGAGGTGGGGCAATCCCCAGGCCATGGAGGACGGAAGTGGACACAAGGAGATTCTAAGGTTGCCTAAGAAAGTTGGGCTTGTGGGTGTCGGACTGAGCAAGGAGAATGGGAGCTGGGACAGCTGGCAGGGGCAGCACAATGGCCCCCTTGCCCCCAGATCCCACCACTTGGCCCAGACTAACCTCCGCCTACACTCTTAGGCTGCAGTGCCCCAGCTCTGAGGAAATCTCACCAAAAAGGAGCAAAATGCTCCTTTTTTATAAGCCTGCCTCAACTCCCAAAGTTCGACTTTTTTCTGGCCTCCCATCATTCATACTCTTCCCTGTCTTCCAGCTCTTGTCCCTTGTGAGTATTGGTGGATGCCATTCCCAGCTTCCCACCAAGCAGGACGCCAAGCACTCCTTTTTCAGGTGCTGAGTCTTCCCTCCACCCCAGCTACCCCGGCAGCCCCGGCCCTGGCTCAAGGCCTCACAGCAAATAGAAAGCACACATCTTGGTGTTGGATGGCAGCAGTATACAGTTTTGACATTAGTAGGACTGGCATGGTGTCCAATGGTGGAGGTGGCAACAGAACTGTCACCACCAGCCCAGGCTAATGGTGTGATTGGGCTGTGCATTGGCTGTGCCCATCAACCTTTTCTGTTTACATAGACACAATTCATTTCTCTGGTCTGCAGCTGAGAATGCTGATTGAGGCATCCTCCTACCTCTGCTAGATCTCTTGCTATCAGCAAGGCTTCACTTGCCTTCTCTGAGCCAACAACTGCTCAGCAGGTGCTACGCTGTGGATTCTTTATCCCCCAAGGAAACTAACAGATGAAGTGTGCCATGACAATGTTTGGGTCAAAGTCAGTTCTCCCTTCCCACAGCCTGTGAATGTGGGGCACACCTGCTACACCCAGCAATCTGGACTAGCTAAGTGAGCCAAACAGCTCAGTCCCACATTCACAGAGATCAATGCCAATGGCACAGTGCACAAAGGCAGCCAGAGGTCAAGTCAGTCCACCGTGTGATGTTAAAGCCAGGTGGGGTCATGTAGTTCCTTGGACACCCTATGATGTCTCCTGTGCCCTTCATGCTTGTTCAGGATCAGGAGTCCCAAGAAAAATCTGAAAACCCAGTAACACGCTGCTTATTACCGCTGAAAACCCAGTAACACGCTGCTAATTACATTAATGGCCCTTCAGTGAAAAGCTTTTGAAAATTACTCTTGGATTTTTGTGACAAAAAAAAAGTGTCTCCCTTTGATAAATCAGATGCTTCCTTTTGTCAGAAAATAGCAGCTATACAATTTGTCTTATTTCTTTTTTTTTTTTTTTTTTGAGATGGAGTTTCACTTTTGTTACCCAGGCTGAAGTGCAATGGCGCGATCTGAGCTCACCGCAACCTCTGCCTCCTGAGTTCATGCAATTCTCCTGCCTCAGCCTCCTGAGTAGCTGGGATTACAGGCATGTGCCACCATGCCCAGCTAATTTTTTTTTTTTTTTGTATTTTTAGTAGAGACGGGGTTTCACCATGTTGACCAGGATGGTCTCGATCTCTTGACCTCGTGATCCACCAGCCTCAGCCTCCCAAAGTGCTGGGATTACAGGCTTGAGCCACCGCGCCCAGCCTTTTTTTTTTTCCCCTGAGATGAAGTCTTGCTCTGTCCCCCAGGATGGAGTACAGTGGCATGTTCTCGGCTCTGCAACCTTCGCCTCCCAAGTTCAAGTTCATCTCCTGCCTCAGCCTCCCGAGTAGCTGGGACTACAGGTGCGTGCCACCACACCCAGGTAATTGTTTGTATTTTTGGTAGAGACAGGGTTTCAGCATGTTAGCCAGGATGGCCAGGATGGTCTCAATATGACCTCATGATCCGCCTGTCTCAGACTCCCAAAGTGCTGGGATTACAGGCATAAGCCACCATGCCCCACCACTTCTCTTTCTGCTTTGGCTGCCAGGAATCTCCAAGCTAAATTTACTCTTTAGATAAAGTCACCATCTGTCTCATCTCAGAGTCCTTGCCCCCTTCCTCTGCATGGTTTTTGATCTTCCTGACAGTAACAATCACTTAGGGAGACACTTTTGTTGGCTATTTCTTCTGATTCTTTTGTGGGATTAGGCTGGAAATCAATTATAATTTATTCTAAACTCAGGTACTGCAGCCTGTCCCATCACTATTGCCTAGTCTTTCTGGGGAGACTGAATTGCTATCCCAAAAACATACTGCTGAGCACACAGCAGCTCCCCGCAAATGCCTGTAAATGGTCCTCTAAGACCTAGACCATCCCTTGTCCCTTTAGCCATCACTCTAGGACGGCTCAGGGCCCTTCAAAAGTTGTCTCCACTTCTCACAGCAACACTCCAGTAGATTCATTTACTGCCTTATAGGGACAAAGAGAGTGAAGCTCAGAGATGTTCAGAGGCAAGGTCACCCATGAAGAAGGCCACATCTGGGTCCCAGGGTCCATCAGAGTAGGGTGGGGGTAGAGCTGCAGGTTCTGTTCCTACTACAGACTCCAGTCCATCTATGCAGCACAATCTTTAACCATCGACAAGAGTGCTACAATTTGCCGGGCGTGGTGGCTCAAGCCTGTAATCCCAGCACTTTGGGAGGCCGAGGCGGGTGGATCACGAGGTCGAGAGATCGAGATCATCCTGGTCAACATGGTGAAACCCCGTCTCTACTAAAAGTGCAAAAAATTAGCTGGGCATGGTGGCACGTGCCTGTAATCCCAGCTACTCAGGAGGCTGAGGCAGGAGAATTGCCTGAGCCCAGGAGGCGGAGGTTGCGGTGAGCCGAGATCGCGCCATTGCACTCCAGCCTGGGTAACAAGAGCGAAACTCCGTCTCAAAAAAAAAAAAAAAAAAAAAAAAAAAAGAGTGCTACAATTTGGCCAGGGTAAGCATACCCAGGCCTCTGGGCATTCAGATCATGGCAACCTGACTTGGATTCTGGACCCTTCCTCCATGTGACCCAGGGAAACCTGCTTACTCCCTGTGCAGCCTTGGTTTCCTCTTCTATAAAGTGGAAATCATAACACTTGTTTTTCCAACTGCCCAGATGCACTAGAAAAGAGACAGTGCCAGGCAACCAGTGGGCACTCCTTGGAGTTCCCCCAAAGCTCCCAAGAGTTTGTGGGAATGTAAAGGTCTAAGCACTGCCTGGATGTCTGTACTGCCCTTGGCTTCAGACCTCCCGTTCTGACCTCAGCCATTCCAAAAATTCCAGGGCAGGTCTGGGCATGCCTGCCAGGCCAAAGCTGCGCAGACACTGTCCGAGACCCCCAATAAATCTGAGTATGGCCTAGGCCTAGGAACTGTCTGTGAGCTACACAACTGTGTTCCCACCAACAACTGTGACTGCACCAGTGGCAGGTGAGCCCATGTGACCCTCCTGATCCCTGTGCACACAGACATCTGCTTGAGGGGCCCTCTCTAGGACCTCCCTACCCCCTGTCCACAGGCCAAGGTGGGCTGGATGAGTAAGCCCATCTATGCCCCCCAGAGCAGAGGTGTGGGCACTGAGCTGGGGAAGGGGCAGGAGATGGATCTGAGGCTCACTGTGTTTGTGCCCTCTGACCCTTTGCAGTCCCCACCAAGGATCAAAATTACTCACCGGGGCTCAGGGTGTCCCCCATCCTGCAGACAGCCAAGGTCTGGCTAAAAAGGAGTAAGAGGAGGAGAAAGAAGAAAGGAGTATAGTGGGAGGAGCTGGCCTAGCCTTCGGGGATCTAGCAGGACTCAGCCAATGTAGCTCCAGCTCCCTCCAGTCACCCTGTAGGGGCCAAGGCGGTGCCAGCAGCTAAGCTCAGCTCTGCCTACCCACTGGTCCAAGTTGATCCTGGGGGTATGGCTCAGTCTACCCTCTGGGGAGAGAGGTCCTCCCAGAGTTAGGGAAACAGGGATGCTGGCTTTTGCTGTGACCACTTGAATCAAGCTAGGGGCAGACAAGGGCATGGGGGCTGGGGCACTCACACAACTGTCAAACCTGTAAAACCTCTGCAATGTCCAGCAGCACATGCCACTGTCCTGTGCTACCTCTGCACATGGCAGTCAAGTGATACACACACATAGCCATCATTCACATCAGGCATAGATCACCTCAGCCCTGTCACCACCACAGACAGATCAGAGGTCCAGATCACATCACCTGGCACATGTCAACCATACACTTCCTGCATATCCCCATCATGATCGGTCGCAGATATCACACGCATTTGTCAGCCAAATCACCATCCACATCACTGTCAACCCTGCAGGAAACAGGGGCGGTGAGAATGACCTGCCCTGAACCAGCCTTCGCCCTGTGATACCCACACTTGCTACAAGCAAAATTGGACATGCATTGCCACTACACACACAGACCCATGTCCTCAGCCGAGCTCAAACTCCAAGGGTGGGTCTTAAGAGGAACAGCCCCCTGGGTAGGAGATGGAGAAAGGGGTGTGGGGAGAGGCAGGCACCTGGGAGAAAGGAGGAGGGAGACGGGGCTTACCTCCAGACCCTGACACCTTGGTTAAAGAGTTAAGGTGATGGAATCTTCTACCCAGACTTGACTGCCCTGGGCAAGTTACATAACCGCCACCCCTCCCTTAACTCCTTCCTAACTGGGAGTAACAGTACTTATCCCACCGGTGATGCTGCAGGATTAAGCAAGTTAATTCACTTCAAGTGCCTAGACACGTCCTGCTCCATGTGAGTGCTTCACAGAGGTCCACTGTCCCTGCAGATCTACACTGGCGCGCTCACAGGCAGTCAGGTCCCCAGTAGGCGCACTCTCTGGCCAGAGTGCAGGTTGGCACAGAGAGGCACAGGGAGGGGTTTGGGCAGGGGTAAAGAGGGTCGTCTCAAAGGCAGAGACGCTGAATCCGAAGTGGGGAACCGAGGAGAGAAGAGGATGTGGGATTCACCGAAGGTGAAGGGCCCGGAAGAGCCCTGTCCTTAAGCCGGGCAGCCCAGTCGGCTGCCTCCCTGGGCGGCCACGTCTGCAGCCCCCGCCCGCGAACCACAAGGGAGGAGCAGGGGTGGGGAGGGCTGGCGCCCGGGGCCAAGGAAAATCGTGTCTGCAAGCGCGGGGCGGGGAGCCAGTGGCTGCGGTGCGGGCCAAAAAAAGTTGAGTTCGCACCGACGTGTGCGCTCCAGGTCCCGGGGTAGGTGCGGGAGTGGGCCCGGGATGGCGGCCCCGGGTGGCAGGCCCCGCTGCCCCGCCACGGCCCCTCTGAACGCGCCTCACCGTCCGACTCCTCCCGCTCGGCGCGCTCCCCGTAGTCCACCCAACTAAGCCCCTCGAGGTTGTCATAGTCGCCGCGCCGCGGCCCGTCCACTGGCACCACGGTGAAGTGAGGCATCGTGCACGCTCTGCTCCGCCGCACCCGCCGTCCCGGCAGCCTGCCGCAGTCCCCGCCGCCCCGGGCCGGCACGCCCCGCCCGCTCGCATTCCTCCCCGCTGCGCTCACTTCCTCCTCCCGCCCCCCGGGCCGCCCCTCTGGGGCGGAGAGGGGGAGGGGCTCGGGGCGGCTCCTCCCTGAGCGGGGGGCCCTAGTGGCGAGAAGACCCCTGAGCTGTAGCGCTCCTGGTGGTTCCACCGCCTGGGGGCGGGCCTGATTCATGTGTGACCTCGGGTGAGGGGCTGCCCTCTCTGAGCCCCAGATGCCGTATTTGTAAAATGGGGGAAACACACTTCCACCTCAAGTTATTTTAGGGCTCCGTGAGATGGGGCGCGGGGTGTCCTGGCTCTGCGCCCTGGGCTTACGAGGCGCTCTGTTACTTAGGGACGGGGCAGGGTAGGCCGGACTGGCCCGGGAACGCAAAAGCCACTCCAGTCCTGCCCAGGGCCTCCCGCCATTCCCGGATACCTCCTTTCTATTTCCAGCGTCTGCATCCCACTGCTCCGCGACCCTGGAAACCGGACCCACACGAAGGTCCAGTTCCTGCCCTGCGACCCCTCGCTGCAGCCTCTCCTCTTGGAGGCGGCAGGGGATTCTCGGTCCCTCCCCAGGGGCTGCTGCGTCCTAGGCAGGAAGGACACCCACACCCACCCACCCCCACCCCGCTTGCCTCGCTTGCCTTTCTGGGACTGTGCACTGGGTGCTTTAGCCAAGTCCCTTCATTTTAACTTTCTCTGACTGTCTCACCTCCTGGGCATTCCTCTACCCAAGTCATTTACTTACTTGCTCCCAACGTTTCTTTCACCTTCTTCTCCACGGCTTCAGATTACTTATATAGTTGGCTTTACTATTTTTTTCTCTATCAGAAAACCCCAGAGCCCATCTTACTTGTCTATCTCCACTCTTCTCCCTTGCTTGGCTTGGGCGGCTTTCGGACATCATCTGCATCCTCTGACTACTGCCTTCTGCCAGCCTCCAGCTTGGGGTGGGGGTCGAAATCAGAGCGGCTGGGCCCCGCAGGACGACCCTGGAGCTTAACACCCTCTGACACCTCCCTCAGAGACCCTGTGGGAGGCCCCGCCGACCTGAACCCCCCGCCCCTCAAGTCACCTTCGGCAGCCCACAGTATCGGCCTTCCTACTGGAATCCCTGCCCTCTCCCCTGCTCACATACAGCCGCCTCTTCCGAAGAGAAAGCCCTAGCTCCTGGCCCATGAGGCCCTGCTCAATGCGGCTGGACCCCGACCTCTGTAGGCGCATCCCTTGGCACCCATCTCGCAACCTCAGCCCTTCAAACTTCTCTCTCTCACATGAGACCTATGGAGTTTCTGGGCATCACCCACTGTTCCCTTGGGGGCCATCTTCCTAGCCTCTGTCCCCACTGTTCACTTATCAAACTCCTGATCCAGGCTCCGGGTGCAGTGGCTCAGGTCAGTAATCCCAGCAGTTTGGGAGGCTGAGGCCCGCAGGTCACCTGAGGTCAGGAGTTTGAGACCAGCATGGTCAAATGGTGAAACCCCCGTCTCTACCAAAAATACAAAAAAAAAAATTAGCTGGGCGTGATGGCATGTGCCTGTAATCCCAGCTACTCTGTGAGGCTGAGGCAGGAGAATCACTTGAACCCGGGAGGCAGAGATTGCAGTGAGCCGAGATTATGCCATTGCACTCTAGCAAGAGTGAAACACCAACTCAAACAAAAACAAAAACAAACACCTCCTAAGGCTGGGCTGGTGGCTCACGCCTCTAATCCCAGCATTTTGGGAGGCAGAGGCGGGCAGATCGCCTGAGGTAGGAAGTTCAAGACCAGCCAGGCCAGCATAGTGAAACCCTGTCTCCACTAAAAATACAAAAATTAGCTGGGTGTGGTGGCAGGCACCTGTAATCCCAGCTGAGGCAGGAAAATCGCTTGAACCTGGGAGATAGAGGTTGCAGTGAGCCAAGATCTCACCATTGTACTCCAGCGTGGGCAATAGAGAGAGACTCCGTCTCAAAAAAGCAAAACAACAAACAAACAAAAAACAAAGAAAAATCTCCTGATCCAGGAGGTCTTGGTGGGGGGCACCATCACCCCTAGATTTCTTAGACACATGTCCTGCCTTCCCACCCCACTCCCCCACCGAAACTGGGTTGCCCTGGGCCTTTCTCTTCATATTTCCCATTGCAGGCTGGGTTGGTAGAAATCATTAATTAAGATTGTGTCTGCTGAGTGTGGTGGCTCACACCTGTAATCCCAGCACTTTGGAAGGCCAAGGTGGGTGGATCACCTGAGGTCAAGAGTTTGAGACCAGCCTAGCCAACATGGTGAAACTCTGTCTCTACTAAAAATAGAAAAATTACTGGGCATGGTGGCTCATGACCATAATCCCAGCTACTTGGGAGACTGAGGCAGGACAATTGCTTGAAGAGAAGAGGCGGAGGTTGTAGTGAACCGACATCTGACCATTGCACTCCAGCCTGGGTGACAAGAGTGAAACTCTGTCTCAAAAAAAAAAAAAAAAAAAAAAAAAAAGGCCGGGCGCGGTGGCTCAAGCCTGTAATCCCAGCACTTTGGGAGGCCGAGGCGGGTGGATCACAAGGTCAAGAGATCGAGACCATCCTGGTCAACATGGTGAAACCCTGTCTCTACTAAAAATACAAAAAATTAGCTGGGCATGGTGGCACATGCCTGTAATCCCAGCTACTCAGGAGGCTGAGGCAGGAGAATTGCCTGAACCCAGGAGGCGGAGGTTGCGGTGAGCCAAGATCGCGCCATTGCACTCCAGCCTGGGTAACAAGAGCAAAACTCCGTCTCAAAAAAAAAAAAAAAAAAAAAAAAGATTTCATCTACACCTACACTGTGGACTTGAAAGGGCAGGAGCCTGTCAGTCTTGTCACTCTGGTATCCTCAAAACCTGGCTGGCCCCAACACATTATTATTTTTTTAGGATCTTAGAGGTGTTTGTTTGTTTGTTTTAATTTAGAGACAGAGTCTTACTCTGTTCCTTCAGGTTGGAGTGCTGTGGTGCAATCATAGCTCATTGCAGCCTCAAACTCCTCTCCCATCAGCCTTCCAAGTAGCTGAGATGCCACCATGCCCAGCTAATTTTTATTCATTTCTCATAAAGACAGGATCTCGGCTGGGCGCGGTGGCTCAAGCCTGTAATCCCAGCACTTTGGGAGGCCAAGGTGGGTGGATCACGAGGTCGAGAGATCGAAACCATCCTGGTCAACATGGTGAAACCCCGTCTCCACTAAAAATACAAAAAATTAGCTGGGCATGGTGGCGCTTGCCTGTAATCCCAGCTACTCAGGAGGCTGAGGCAGGAGAATTGCTTGAACCCAGGAGGCAGAGGTTGCGGTGAGCCGAGATCGCGCCATTGCACTCCAGCCTGGGTAACAAGAGCGAAACTCCGTCTCAAAAAAAAAAAAAAAAAAAAAAAGACAGGATCTCACTACGCTACACAGGCTGGTCTCAAACTCCTGGGCTCAAGTGATCCTCCCACCTTGACCTCTGCTAAAGTGCTAGGATTACAGTCGTGACCCACTGCTCCTGGTCCCAAAACATTTTTAAAACAAATAATGAACCATGCCTTCTTGGTCTACCTCTTTGCTCTGCCAAGTTTTCCTATGGCTCCCACCCTGAAACTGCACACTCTGCAGCCTCAAGTGTACGGTGGGGTGCTGTGCCAGAGAGATAAGCCACTACAGCCCAACCCACAACCATAGAGGGGATGATCGAGAACTCCGAGGCCACACACAACTTCTCCCACACCACTGACTGACCAAGCAGCCCATTTTATCAGAACCCTCACAGTAAAAACCTCACAGGCCAAACTCAAAAGACATTTGAGGAGCACAGACATTTCAAAAGAAAACATAAATCAGGAACATTGTTAGAATATCTAGATCAAAAATTCAAAATTCAGCCAGGTGCAGTGGCTCAAATCTGTAATCCCAGCACTTTGGGAGGCTGAGGCAGATAGATTACCTGAGGTCAGGAGTTTGAGACCAGCCTGGTCAATATGGTAAAACCCCGTCTCTACTAAAAATACAAAAATCAGACAGGTGTAGTGGCAGGCACCTGTGATCCCAGCTACTTGGGACTGAGGTGGGAGAATCGCTTGAACATAGGAGGTGGAGGTTGCAGTGAGCCAAGATTTCGCCACTGCACTCCAGCCTGGGCAACAGAACACGACTCCGTCTCAAAATAATAATAATAGATAATAAAAAAATAAAATAAAATAATTAGCCAGGCCTGGTGGCACAGGCCTATAATTCCAACTACTAGGGAGGCTGAGGCAGAATTTCTTGAACCTGGGGCCAGAGGTTTCAGTGAGGTGAGATTGAGCCACTGCACTCCAGCCTGGGCGATGGAGTGACTGCTACAAAAAAAAAAAAACAAAACAGGCCGGGCGCGGTGGCTCAAGCCTGTAATCCCAGCACTTTGGGAGGCCGAGGCGGGTGGATCACGAGGTCAAGAGATTGAGACCATCCTGGTCAACATGGTGAAACCCCGTCTCTACTAAAAATACAAAAATTAGCTGGGCATGGTGGCGTGTGCCTGTAATCCCAGCTACTCAGGAGGCTGAGGCAGGAGAATTGCCTGAACCCAGGAGGCGGAGGTTGCGGTGAGCCGAGATCGCGCCATTGCACTCCAGCCTGGGTAACAAGAGCAAAACTCCGTCTCAAAAAAAAAAACAAAAAACAAAAACAACAACAACAACAAAAAAAAAAAAACGGGGCTGAGCATGATGGCTCACACCTGTAACCCCAGCACTTTGGGAGGCTGAGGCGAGCAGATGAGGTCAGGAGTTCAAGACCAGCCTGGCCAACATGCTGAAACCCCTTCTCTACTAAAAATACAAAAATTAAAATAAAAATAAATCAGCCAGGAGTGGTGGTGCATGCCTGCAGTCCCAACTACCTGGAAGGCTGATTCAGGAGAATCGCTTGAACCCAGGAGACAGAGGTTGCAGTGAGCTGAGATGGAGCCACTGCACTCCAGCCTGGGCAATAGAGTGAGACTCCATCTGAAAAAAACAAAACCAAAAAAAAAAAAAACCAAACAATTAGCCAGGTATGGTGGCACATGTCTGTAATTCCAGCTACTCAGGAGGCTGAGGCACAAGAATCACTTAAACTTGGGAGGCAGAAGTTATAGTGAGCTGAGATCATGCCACTGCACTCCAGCCTGGGCAATGGAGCGGGACTCTGTCTCAGAAAAAACAGAAATAAATAAAGCATATGAGGGTTAACTGCTTAATGGGTATAGGGTGGGTATAGGGTTTCCTTTTAGGATGAAAATATTTTGGAACTAGACTGAAGCGGTAGCTGTACAACACTGTGAATGTATTAAAGGCCACTGAGTTGCTCACTTTAATATGGTTAATTTTATGGTATATGAATTACACTTCAATACAAATGAATTATTGGAATTATAAGGAGAAACTGATACTGAGGAGCACAGCATCAGATATGGAAGTTTTTTTTTTTTTTTTTTTGAGACGGAGTTTCGCTCTTGTTACCCAGGCTGGAGTGCAATGGCGCGATCTCGGCTCACCGCAACCTCCGCCTCCTGGGTTCAGGCAATTCTCCTGCCTCAGCCTCCTGAGTAGCTGAGATTACTCCTGACCTGAAGTGATCTGCCTGCCTTGGCCACCCAAAGTGCTGGGATTATAGGCGTAAGCCACTGCACCCAGCCTAAAAACTTACTTTAAAGTTGTCACAATTAAGACATTGTGGTATTGATATGATGATAAACACATGCTCCAAATAAATGAAACAGACCCAGACATATGTAGAGCCTTGCTTTATAAAATAGGTGGCACTGGAGTCATTCTTTCTCCCAATTCCAAGTTCCCATGAAACGAACTTAGATCTGGCTCTGGCCCAACTGGAGAGGAAAGCAGCCAAAAAAAGACGCCACTTGAGTGAGCCATGCAGACAGCAAGAGTTTCCTTTTATTTCTTTTAAAGATTTGGTGACTCCGGCCGATTGCAGTGGCTCTTGCCTGTAATCCCAGCACATTGGGAGGCTGAGGCGGGCAGATCACGAAATCGAGAGATCAAGACCATTCTGGCCAACATGGTGAAACCCCGTCTCTACTAAAAAAATACAAAAATTAGCTGGGCATGGTGGCACACGCCTGTAGTCCCAGCTACTCGGGAGGCTGAGGCAGGAGAATTGCTTGAACAGAAGAGGCGGAGATTGCAGTGAGCCGTGATCGCACCACTGCACTCCAGCCTGGCACCTGGCGAAAGAGCGAGACTCTGTTTCAAAAAAAAAAAAAAATTAAGAAAAAATAAAAGATTTGGTGATTCTGCACCCCCTCATTTAAAAATTAGTTTTTAAAAAAAATCAGAGGACCTAATCTGAGAAATCTTTCACAAAGATACCCCCCAAATAATTCCAAACAAGTTATTCTTTATTCTATAAATAGTACCAGCTTTATTTATTTGTTTGTTTGTTTATTTATTTATTTGATGGAGTCTTGCTCTTTCGCCAGGCTGGAGTGCAGTGGCACTATCTCAGCTCCCTGCAACCTCTGTCTCCCAGATTCAAGTGATTCTCCTGCCTCAGCCTCCTGAGTAGCTGGGACTACAGGCATAGTAGCCCAGCTAATTTTTTGTATTTTAGTAGAGACAGGATTTCACCATGGCCAAGATGGTCTCGATATCCTGATCTCATGATCTGCCTGCCTCAGCCTCCCAAAGTGCTGGGATTACAGGTGTGAGCCACTGTGCCAGGCCTAGTACTAGCTTTTAAAAAACAAACGAACAATGCCGGGCGCGGTGGCTCAAGCCTGTAATCCCAGCACTTTGGGAGGCCGAGGCGGGTGGATCACAAGGTCGAGAGATCAAGACCAACCTGGTCAACATGGTGAAACCCCGTCTCTACTAAAAATACAAAAAATTAGCTGGGCATGGTGGCGCGTGCCTGTAATCCCAGCTTCTCAGGAAGCTGAGACAGGAGAATTGCCTGAACCCAGGAGGCGGAGGTTGCGGTGAGCCAAGATTGCACCATTGCACTCCAGCCTGGGTAACAAGAGCGAAACTCCGTCTCAAAAAAAAAAAAAAAAAAAAAAAACAAGGCCGGGCGCGGTGGCTCAAGCCTGTAATCCCAGCACTTTGGGAGGCCGAGGCGGGTGGATCACGAGGTCGAGAGATCGAGACCATCCTGGTCAACATGGTGAAACCCCGTCTCTACTAAAAACACAAAAAAGTAGCTGGGCATGGTGGCGCTTGCCTGTAATCCCAGCTAGTCAGGAGGCTGAGGCAGGAGAATTGCCTGAACCCAGGAGGCGGAGGTTGCGGTGAGCCGAGATCGTGCCATTGCACTCCAGCCTGGGTAACAAGAGCGAAACTCTGTCTCAAAAAACAACAACAACAACAACAACAACAACAACAAAAAAACAAACAAATTTGGCCAGGCGTGGTGGCTCACACCTGTAATCCCAGCACTTTGGGAAGCCAAGGAGGGCAGATTGCCTGAGGTTGGTAGTTCAAGACCAATCTGACAAACAGGGAGAAATCCCATCTGTACTAAAAAGACAAAATTAGCTGGACATGGTGGCACATGCCTGTAATTCCATCTACTCAGGAGGCTGAGGCAGGAGAATCGCTTGAAACCAGAGGCAGAAGGTACAGTGAGCCAAGACTGCACCATTGCACTCCAGCCTGGGCAACAGGAGAGAGACTCTGTCTCAACAAAACAAAAAACAAAAAAAAACAAATTTAGCCTTTCAGAGAGAAACTGGGAAGAACCCCATTCTCACACTCCACAAAGGGACTCAAACCGAATTCACTTCCTTTGTGTTCTTCTGTGGGCTCAAGCTTTTAGCTTAAGAATTTCACAAGATGAGCCGGGCGCGGTGGCTCAAGCCTGTAATCCCAGCACTTTGGGAGGCCGAGGCGGGTGGATCACAAGGTCAAGAGATCGAGACCATCCTGGTCAACATGGTGAAACCCCGTCTCTACTAAAAAATACAAAAAAAAATTAGCTGGGCATGGTGGTGTGTGCCTATAATCCCAGCTACTCAGGAGGCTGAGGCAGGAGAATTGCCTGAACCCAGGAGGCGGAGGTTGCGGTGAGCCGAGATCGCGCCATTGCACTCCAGCCTGGGTAACAAGAGCGAAACTCCGTCTCAAAAAAAAAAAAAAAAAAAAAAAAAAATTTCACAAGATGCCAGCCAGGTGTGGTGGCTCACACCAGTTATCTCAGTACTTTGGGAGGCCGAGGTGGGCGGATCACGAGGTCAGAAGTTCAAGACCAGCCTGGCCAACATGGTGAAACCCTGTCTCTACTAAAAATACAAAAAATTAGCCAGGTGTGGTGGCAGGCGCCTGTAATCCTAGCTACTCAGGAGGCTGAGGTAGGAGAATCGCTTGAACCCAGGAAGTGGAGGTTGCAGTGAGCTGAGATTGTGCCACTGCACTCCAGCCTGAGTGACAGAGCAAGATTCCATCTCAAAAAAAAAAAAAAAACAAAACAACAACAACAACAACAAAAAACAAACGAACAAATTTGGCCAGGCGTGGTGGCTCACACCTGTAATCCCAGCACTTTGGGAAGCCAAGGAGGGCAGATTGCCTGAGGTTGGTAGTTCAAGACCAATCTGACAAACAGGAAGAAATCCCATCTGTACTAAAAAGACAAAATTAGCTGGACATGGTGGCACATGCCTGTAATTCAATCTACTCAGGAGGCTGAGGCAGGAGAATCGCTTGAAACCAGAGGCAGAAGGTACAGTGAGCCAAGACTGCACCATTGCACTCCAGCCTGGGCAACAGGAGAGAGACTCTGTCTCAACAAAACAAAAAACAAAAAAAAACAAATTTAGCCTTTCAGAGAGAAACTGGGAAGAACCCCATTCTCACACTCCACAAAGGGACTCAAACCGAATTCACTTCCTTTGTGTTCTTCTGTGGGCTCAAGCTTTTAGCTTAAGAATTTCACAAGATGAGCCGGGCGCGGTGGCTCAAGCCTGTAATCCCAGCACTTTGGGAGGCCGAGGCGGGTGGATCACAAGGTCAAGAGATCGAGACCATCCTGGTCAACATGGTGAAACCCCGTCTCTACTAAAAAATACAAAAAAAAATTAGCTGGGCATGGTGGTGCGTGCCTATAATCCCAGCTACTCAGGAGGCTGAGGCAGGAGAATTGCCTGAACCCAGGAGGCGGAGGTTGCGGTGAGCCGAGATCGCGCCATTGCACTCCAGCCTGGGTAACAAGAGTGAAACTCCGTCTCAAAAAAAAAAAAAAAAAAAAAAATTTCACAAGATGCCAGCCAGGTGTGGTGGCTCACACCAGTTATCTCAGTACTTTGGGAGGCCGAGGTGGGCGGATCACGAGGTCAGAAGTTCAAGACCAGCCTGGCCAACATGGTGAAACCCTGTCTCTACTAAAAATACAAAAAATTAGCCAGGTGTGGTGGCAGGCGCCTGTAATCCTAGCTACTCAGGAGGCTGAGGTAGGAGAATCGCTTGAACCCAGGAAGTGGAGGTTGCAGTGAGCTGAGATTGTGCCACTGCACTCCAGCCTGGGTGACAGAGCAAGATTCCATCTCAAAAAAAAAAAAAAAGAATTTCATAAGATGCCTCTGGCCTTCCTGAGCGAGCCAAAGCTGGAGGTGAGTGGGACCTACCCACCTTGCGTAGCTGTGGCTAGACCACAAGACCCGTTACTGACCAAGAGCCCACCTGCCGCCACTCCCATGAGGGAGAAGGAAGGACACTTGCACCTGGCTGCATGTGTAAAATGTTTATTCTCAGCATATGCTTGTGAATGAACTAGGAAGGGGGGCTTTGTGAGACTTTGCCACAGTGACCTCTGGGGGGATGCGCCATGTCAGCAGAGCCACTGGATGAAGGTTGGGAAGGTGACAGCAGCCACAAGGCCTGGAACAAGGTAGGGGGAGGCTTTTGAGGACCTCCAGGGGACCCAATTGGTTGGCCGCTTGGTCACCTCCAGATGTGTAGCCTGGTGTCCATTCCGAGGCATGAGGTGGGAGTGGCAGGATGTGCTCTGTTGCCTGTATGGAAACTCAGCCTCCACAGGGCTCTGTGCCCTGCTCTCCTCTCTCACCTGGGGATGGAAGTCCACAATCAGAGGCTCCCACCACAATCTTCCTCCCTGCTCAAACCACTGAACCATCCTGACCACCAGACCAGCTTACCCTTTCTACTTGTCTGAAGACTCGCAGCAGGTTTCCACGAAGGACACCTTGAAGCTCTTCTTCACTCCAGCCACGAATCAGCAACTCCTCTATCAGGACTGGGTATGTGGACACGTCCTCCAGCCCCTGAGGGAACCTGTGTGGCCACCCACCGGCCAGCTGTGGGACCTTAGCCCTGATCCTGAGTTAGGGCCCACTACCCCACCAGCCCTAGTCACACAGGGGAAACCGAAGGCCACGTTCTTCAGGCTAGTGAATGCAACCTTGGAGCCTCCTGGATGGAGGACTGGGCTTCTGTAGCAGATGGTCAACCCACAGCAGATCTGCTAGGCTGGGATTGGCACATATCTTGGGCAGACGAGCTCTGCCTAAGGAGGGGAGTATTTAACGAGTATGACAACCTGGATTGGGGCCGCTGGGCCACTAAAGGGACAGGGAGAACCTAGGAAACAGGCCCTGAGAATAGGGATTGTCAGGTGGGCTAGAAGACCAGAGCCTGTGGCTCAGGCCTGGATGGGAGGATGTCAGGATGAGAACAAAGACTAAAGGACTCCCTGCTGCACCCCAGCCCAAGAAAAACTCCAGGGAAGTACTCACCGGCCAGTCCCATCATAATTTCCACCAATCCCAATGAACTCAGATCCAATGACTGCTCTGATGTGGTCAAAGTGATCTAGGATGGAGGTGAGTGTGGGCAGCACCAGGCTGGAGTTAGACTCTGGCACCAGCCTGTCCCCAGCACTCCAGGCTGTGGCAGTTGGCTCCCAAGAGCAAGCTCATGGCCAGTCATGAGTCCTGAAATGGCTGCAGGCTGGCCACTGGACCTAGAGTGGGCCTTGGAGCTACCCCTTTGGACCTTTTCCTGCCCAGGAGCCACCCTGCCTCTGGGTTCCTTGAGAGCCTTGTAGGGGCTCAGCCTGTCCTGCTCAGAGATGTGGGGAATGAGAGCCACTTGGTCAGGATTGGGAGCCAAACCAAGAGGCATCAAACCCATCAGCACTGACTGTGGCTCCAGATCTGGGTGGCACCGGAGAGCTGTGTCTGCTGCCTCTGGGTCGTTGGGAAACAGCCTCAGGACTGTGTATGTGGACACATCCTCCAGCCCCTGAGGGAACATGTGTGGCCACCCACCAGCCAGCTGTGAGACCTTAGCCCTGATCCTGGGTTAGGGCCCACTGCCCACCAGCCCTAGTCACACAGGAGAAACTGAAGGCCACGTTTTTCAGGCTAGTGAAATTCTGTCCATTCCCAACAGGTACACTAGACTGCTAGAGTTGTCCCAAGAGCCCCAGCAGCCATGGCCCAAGCCAGTGCTACACAAAGCTGAGGTGGGACTCACCTGCCACGGTGGACACATTAGCAAGCAGGTTGCACTGCAGCACCCCCATGGACAGTGTCACCATCACGATGCCACCAGTCTTCTTCTAGAAGGATAGAGAAAGGGACACTTGTCTCAGCCCTTCTGGCCTGAGAGCATGTCTCCTGTGCCATGGGGGCCCTGGTAGAACTGTGGTCTGTCCTGGCATCAGGGGCTTCACCTCTCTAGGTTTGTGGGTCCCTGGGTGGAAATGACTTGGCCTTGAGTTTCAGGGATAGAGGAGGATTAACCTGCCTTTGGTCCAAGGGTGTATGAAACCTGGGCTGGTGGCTTTCTCTGTTTAGGGTCAAGAACCTTTGGATAACACATGCCTAGCCCTGGGTTTGAGAGCTGGGGTGGCCACTCACCAGAAGCTGCAGGATATCATCGGGAACATTCAACAAATGGTCACACACAGCTCTGGCAGCTGAGTGGGAGAAGATCACAGGAGCCCGAGATACTTCCAGGACCCTTCTCATCAAGGTGTCCGATGCATAGGACAAATCTATCATCATGCCCAAGCGGTTCAATTCCTCTACCACTTTCTGCAGGGACAATTAGGGTTTTTCATGGGGGAGGGTGTTGGTGTGCAAAGGGGTGTACACATATACATAGCAAGCAGGTGGGGTGGGGTACATAACAGGAGTTCTCACCTCACCAAAGCTTGTCAACCCGCTGACGTTAGTGTACATATGGTGTCTGAACTTGGTAGAACTCTCTGCCCTGTGGGACGGCCATGGGAGAGCAATTTAGCTGATCACACCTTGGGCCATCAGAGCCTGGGGCCCCTGGGTCTATCCATCCATCCCACTTCCAGAACAGGTACAGGACCAGCTGCTTTCTGGGATTGTGAGGGACATGCTGGGTGTCCAGCCTCCCTCTGTGGACCCCTTCATCCTCAATGGTCTGATCACACCCATGCCAGGGATGGGGCAGTTTCCCTACCACACCATCTAGCATCCTGGCCAGGTGCCGTGCTCACCACGGTGTATTGCAGGTGAAGGTGAGTGTCAGGTAGCGCACTCCCAGCACATAGAAACTGCGCAGCACAGAGAGGCTGTTGTCCAGTGAGTGACCACCCTCTACGCCAATGAGGCAAGCCAGCTTTTGAGAATTGTTCAGACCTAGAAGGAGGTAGAGAGTCAACTGGTCAGATTCCAGGAACAGAACCTCCAGAGTGACATCCTGACTATCCTCTTATCTACTGGCTCACCTTCAGCTGAGGTCACAAGCTCGAGTTCAGAGTAGGAGGCGCACATGCGGCGAATGAGGTCAATCTGCTCCAGGGTGAGGCGCACAGCAGCCTGGTCCTGGGTCTGGCATGAGACGGAGGCTGACCAGAACTGAGGATAGGTCCAGGGGTCCAGAATGAGGATAGGGTAGTCTTCAACCCCCAAGGCCTGCCTCTCCTGCCTCAGCCCCCATAACACCCATTTGGGTCAGTGGCCCCAAGTGAGGCATTACATGACTCCGTGGTACATTGATGACTTTTTTTTTTTTTTAATTTTGAGACAGAGTCTTGCTTTGTCACCCAGGCTAGAGTGTAGTGATTCGATCACAGCTCCCTGCAGGCTTGATCCCCCTGGGGCTCAAATGATCCTCCTGCCTCAGCTTCCCAAAGTGTTGGCATTACAGACTTGAACCACTAAGCCTGGTTCCTTGATGACTGTTTGCTGCCAGCAGTCAAACAATGGACTCACAACACATTATAAATTGCTGTTATGGCCAGGCTCAGTGGCTTACGCCGGTAATCCCAGCATTATGGGAGGCTGAGGCGGGAGGATTACCTGAGGTCATGAGTTCGAGACCAACCTGTCCAACATGGTGAAACCCTGTCTCTACTAAAACAATAAAAATTAGCCAGTTGTGGTAGCGAGCATCTGTAATCCTACCTATTCAGGAGGCTGAGACAGGGAGAATTGCTTGAACCCCGGAGGCAGAGGTTGCAGTGAGGTGAGAATGTCCCACTGCACTCCAGCCTGGGCAACAGAGCCAGACACTGTCTCAAAAATACAAAGAAGCAAAAAACTGCTGTTAGTCCATGTGCTATGTGAATGCCCCAAGGCCAATCCGCTGTGTCCTTTGTGGTTACAGCTGCCCCCACACTCACCAGGGATTTTCTGGTCATTTTCTGTGTATTTCCACAGAACCTGGGCATCCATGCAGCTAGCCTGTCTTGGCTTCCAAGGCCCTACTTTCCTTAGAAGCCACATTATGGCACACTCCATGCCCCATTGTATCTAGTCACCCAGAGGCTGGCCCACCCAGGTTTGTATGGTTCCAACATCCCCCAGCAGCCATGCTGTGACACCCTGTGTGTCCCTGTTGTACCTGGGCACCCACGAAGCCATCTCTAAGCCTGTCCAGGCTGGTCTGGCCATGGCTGAAATTTCTCAGGTTAACATCCTGAAGAACATTCTTGTAACGCTGTCTCAGGACCTGGGGCAGGTCATTGTGGCTGGGGGTGGCAAGTCAAGGTCAGATGGAAACACAGCCTCCAGATCAGGCAGGATATATCAGGTGTTTGGGTCTACCCTCCTCCACCCCACCAGGCACCTCCTCAACACAAACCATATACAGGCTGCCTAAGGTCGGGTTGGAGGGAGGGGGTTAGGTTCCACCAGGAATGGGGTGATGGGGGGAAGGGCACCCATGGGTGATGGAGGAGCGAGGGCATCCAAGGGTGGTGTGAGAGATCCTCCTTGATAACCCTGCATGCTCAGAAACTCCTCTCCTGCCCAAGGGTGCCCTCACCCCACCATTGCCCCCACATTGCACCTACATACCCATCCACCAGCGGGAAATCCTGCATCAGGGCCTGTGCGCGACCCCGAAGGTCCAGGGTTTTGGGGGTGCCTGGCGTAGTGCGGCCTGGCGTAGTGAGGGCGCTGGGGGTGTCGGTCGTGGTGAAGAGGCTGGAGGCACCCAGCATGGAGAGGGCTCTGGGGGTGTCCGGCGTAATCTCTGCGCGGGTTATGGATTGCCACAGCAGCAACAGGAGCAGGAGCAGGAGACGCCACAGATACCGCCGGCTGTGCGCGCGGGGACCCTTGCGGCTGGTAGGCTGCATATTGCGCAGGGGTCGGCCGCGGGAGCCTGGGACCGGCAGGCGACCTGCAGAGGCCGGCAATGGGGTTCGGACCATGATGATCCAGCCGCGCGACTTTGTGAAGAGAGGGTTGAAGTCACGCGACTCTGCGACCGACGCGCCACGCAAGGGGGCGCCACGGCCCTTCCGCCCCCAAGTAGGAGGGCGCCCCAGTGGGCCCGACCCGCCGCTGCAGCGTCAAAGACTCCTCGCCCTCCCACCCCCAGCGCTGGCTCCGTAGACCCCGAGACCGAAAGTGTAGGCGAAAGAGTGCAGGCGGGGAACTAGTAGGGGCCAAGGGATCTCATGCCCTACCCAAACCTACGTCGGGGGTTAGCTTCCGGCTAGTGCCCAGCTCCCAGACAGGTTAATTTTTTTTTTTTTTTTTGAGATGGAGGTTTGCTCTTGTTATCCAGACTGGAATGCAATGACGCGATCTCACCACAACCTTCGCTTTTTGGGTTCAAGTGATTCTCCTGCCTCAGCCTCCCGAATAGCTGGGATTGCAGGCATGCGCCACCACCTGGCTAATTTTGTGTTTTTAGTAGAGATAGGGTTTCTCCATGTTGGTCAGGCTGGTCTGGAACTCCCAACTTCAGGCGTTTCGCCTGCCTTGGTCTCCCAAAGTGCTGGGATTACAGGCGTGAGCTTCCGCCCCTGGCCAGACAGGTTAAATATTCTAAGCTGTGACTCAGAAGAGTTAATTCCATCTGTATGTTTTGACTGACAGAAAAGGATTCCCTATAGGTGCTTTTTTTTTTTTTTTTGAGACAGAGTTTCGCTCTTGTTACCCAGGCTGGAGTGCAATGACACGATCTCGGCTCACCGCAACCTCCGCCTCCTGGGTTCAGGCAATTCTCCTGCCTCAGCCTCCTCAGTAGCTGGGATTACAGGCACGTGCCACCATGCCCAGCTAATGTTTTGTATTTTTAGTAGAGACGGGGTTTCACCATGTTGACCAGGATGGTCTCGATCTCTTGACCTCGTGATCCACCCACCTCGGCCTCCCAAAGTACTGGGATTACAGGCTTGAGCCACTGCGCCCGGCTATAGGTGCTTTTTTTTTTTTTTTTTTTTGAGACAGAGTTTTGCTCTTGTTACCCAGGCTGGAGTGCAATGGCGCGATCTCGGCTCATCGCAACCTCCGCCTCCTGGGTTCAGGCAATTCTCCTGCCTCAGCCTCCTGAGTAGCTGGGATTACAGGCACGTGCCACCATGCCCAGCTAATTTTTTGTATTTTTAGTAGAGACGGGGTTTCACTATGTTGACCGGGATGGTCTCGATCTCTTGACCTCGTGATCCACCCGCCTCGGCCTCCCAAAGTGCTGGGATTACAGGCTTGAGCCACCGCGCCCGGCTAGGTGCTATTTTTAATTTAATTTTATTTTGTTTTATTTTTGGGGACAGAGTTTCTCTCATTGCCCAGGCTGGAGTGCAATGGCGAAGATTTGGCTAACTGCAACCTCTGCCTCCCAGGTTCAAGCCATTCTTCTGCCTCAGTCTCCCAAGTAGGTGGGATTACAGGTGCCTGCCACCACACCCGGCTTATTTTTTATTTTTATTTTTTTAGACAAAGTCTCACTCTGTCACCAGGCACCAGGTGGAGTGCAGTGGCACAACCTCAGCTCACTGCAACCTCCGCCTCTTGGGTCCAAGCAATTCTCCTGCCTCAGCATCCCAAGTAGCTGGGACTACAGGCGCACACCCAGCTGATTTTTTTTTTTTTTTTTAGTAGAGATGGGGTTTCACCATGTTGGCCAGGATGGTCTCGATCTCTTGACCTCATGATCTGCCCGCCTCGGCCTCCCAAAGTGCTGGGATTACAGGCATAAGCCACCACACCCGGCCTATTTTTGTATTTTTAGTAGAGACGGGGTTTTGCCATGTAGGCCAGGCTGGTCTTGAACTCCTGACCTCAGGTGATCTGCCTGCCTAAGCCTCCCAAAGTGCTGGGATTACAGCCGTGAGCCACCGTGCCTGGCCCCCAAAATGAAATTTATTTCATTTTTTAAGCTTTTTTTCCCCTTCTAAGAGATGGAATCTCTGTTGCCCAGGCTGGAGTTCCAGTGGCGTGATCATAGCTCACTGTGGCCTTGAACTTCTGAGCTCAAGTGATCCTCCTTCCTCTACCTCCCAAGTAGCTGAGACTATAGGTGCATTGACACTGTGCATGGCTGATTGTCATTTTTTTTTTTTTTTTTTTTGAGACGGGGTTTCGCTCTTGTTACCCAGGCTGGAGTGCAATGGCAGGATCTCGGCTCACCGCAACCTCCGCCTCCTGGGCTCAGGCAATTCTCCTGCCTCAGCCTCCTGAGTAGCTGGGATTACAGGCACGTGCCACCATGCCCAGCTAATTTTTTGCACTTTTAGTAGAGACGGGGTTTCACCATGTTGACCAGGATGGTCTCGATCTCTTGACCTCGTGATCCACCCGCCTCGGCCTCCCAAAGTGCTGGGATTACAGGCTTGAGCCACCGCGCCCGGCCGATTGTCATTTTTTATATTAAAAATTTTTTTGAGGCAGGGTCTCACTTTGTCACCCAAACTAAAGTGCAGTGGCGCTACTCAGCTGACTGCAGCCTTGACCTCCCAGGTAAAAATGACCCTCCTGCCTCAGCTCCCTAAGCAGCTGGGAGGGGCTACAGGCATGCACCACTATGCCCAGTTAATTTTTGTGTTTTTGCTTTTTTTTTTGGTCTGTGTTTTTGCATTTTTTTAGAGACAGGGTTTTGCCATGTTGCCCAGGCTGGTCTTGAACTCCTAAGCTCAAGCAATCTGCTCACCTTGGTCTCCCAAAGTGCTAGGATTACAGGTATGAGCCACCGTGTCTGGCCTTATTTCTTTTTTAGAAATGGGGTCTTGCTATGTTGTCCAGCTGGTTTTGAGCTTCTGGCCTCAACTGATCCTCCTGCCTTGGCCTCCCAAAGTGTTTCAATTGCAGGTGTGGGCCACTGCATCTGGCCCTATTTTAGTATTTAGTATTGAATTTTTTTTATGTATATGTTAATATATACACACACAAAAAAACCCTAGAAGAGTCTACACATCAAATGTTTGTTAATAGTGGCCCTCTTGGGAAGACAGCTACCTACACCTTGATCACTTTGCTTCCGTCTCATTTCTTTCTGTATTACAGTGATAACTGGCTAAGAGAAGTCATGGGTAGCGCTGGTGAGGGTTAATCAGGGTCATGGGGGTTGGCAGAGGCACGAGAGCAGCAGCTGAACCTTGCTTGAAAGGAAGGGGTGTGGGTCAGGCAGGAGGAGTGGAGAGGGGATCCAGGGTTGGCTAATAGCCCAGCAGAAGTCTAGTTTGGGCATTAAAACAACTGTTGTGGAGGAGGCACAGGTGGATCCTCCAAGGCATGAAGTGGTGGGACAAGGTCAGACTAGGGCTCTTGGTCCTGAGAGCATGAGGGTCTGACACATTATTTCACCTGGGGCAGAAATCCTCCTTCAAAACAAGGCAGCTTTCAGCAACCCCCTCATCATTTCCTGCTGAAAAAGTCCTGATACAGGGGAAATGGATCTCAAAACTGCATCTGGGGCTAAGTGCAGTGACTCACACCTATAATCCCAGTACTTGGGGAAGCCAAGGTGGGCAGATTGCTTGAGTCTAGGAGTTTGAGACCAGCCTGGCCAACACAGTGAAACCCCGTCTCTACTACAAATACAAACATTAGCCAGGCACGGTGGCGCATGCCTCTAATCCCAGCTACTCAAGAGGCTGAGGCCGGAGAATTGCTTGAACCTGGGAGGTGAAGAGTGCAGTGAGCCAAGATCAAACCACTGCACTCCAGCCTTGGCAACAGAGCGAGACTCCGTCTCAAAAACAAAAACAACCACCAAAATAACACAACTGCATCTGAGCCAGTGCAGTGGCTCATGTCTGTAATCCCAGCACTTTGAAAAGCCAAGGCAGGCAGATTGCTTGAGTCCAGGAGTTTGAGACCAGCCTGGGCAACATGGTGAAACCTTGTCTTTACTAAAAATACAAAATATTAGCCAGGCATGGTGGTGCACACCTGAGGTCCCAGCTACTCCAGAGGCTGAAGTGGGAGTATCACTTGAGGCAAGGAATTTGAGGCTGCAGTAAGCTGAGATTGTGCCACTGCATTCCAGCAGCCTGGGTAATGGAAGTGAGACCCTGTCTCAAAAAAAAAAAAAAAAAAAAAAAAAAGCAAGCAACACGCAAAACCTGAATCTGGTTAGCATCTGAACCTCTTGGGCCTGAACCAGGTGCTGCTGAGAAAGGTTAATGACAGAAACTGAATCTAAATTATCCTCCCTCTGCATCTGTTTCTGTGTCCTGTTCTCACACCTGAGCTCCCTGATAAGTGGGCATCCCCTTCTGGGCACCTTAAGAAGGGCCTTGGCCTCTGTGACCACTGCCCCTTCTCATGCCTGGGGGTTAGTGACCAAGTGTGACCCAGCTGCTTCTAGCTTTGGTTCTCTCAGGAAACGCAGAGAAAGGTCATGTTTATTTTGGTCTCTCATAAGCCTCAGCTGGCCTGCCCTGAAGGTCTTTATTTAAGTGACTTAGAACAACATAAAGAATGGTAGCTTTGCCAATAGTTTAAGAAAAGTGCAGAAGCATTGCATGTACAACTGTTTCCTATGTTACTATTACCATTATTTTAAATTGTTTAGGCTGGGCACAGTGGCCCATCTCTGTAATTCCAGCACTTTGGGAGGGCGAGGGGGGTGAATCACTCGAGTCTGGGAGTTTGAGACCAGTCCAGACAACATGGTTTAACCTCATCTCTACAAAAAATACAAAAATTAGCTGGGCATGGTGCTGCGGGCCTGTAGTCCCAGCTACTCAGGAGGCAGAGGTGGGAGGATCACGAAGTCAGGAGTTCGAGACCAGCCTGGCCAATATGGTGAAAGCCTGTCTCTACTAAAAATACAAAAATTACCTGGGCCTGTGGCATGTGCCTGTAGTCCCAGTCGCTCAAGAAGCTGAGGCAGGAGACTCGCTTAAACCTGGGAGGTGGAGGTTACAGTAAGCTGATATCACACCATTGCACTCCAGCCTGGGCAACAGAGCAAGACTGTCGAAAAAAAAAAGAAGAAAGAAAGAAAAAAAAACAGAAAGTAAAAATAAAAACAAAAAAATAAATTAGCTGAGTGTGGTGGTGCACGCTTATAGTCCTAGCTACTTTAGAGGCTGAAGCAGGAGGATCACTTGAGCCCGGGAGTTAAAAGCTGCAGTGAGCTATGCTTGTGCCACTGTACTCCAGCCTGGATGACAAAGTGAGACTCTGTCTCAAAAAAAAATCATCATCATCATCATAATTAAAAATAAAGAAAAGAGGCTGGGTGCAGCGGCTCATGCCTATAATCCCAGCCCTTTGGGAGGGCAAGGCGGGTGGGTCATGAGGTCAGGAGTTTGAGACTAATATGGTGAAACCCCATCTCTACTAAAAAAAAATACAAAAAAATTAGCTGGGTGTGGTGGCAGGCACCTGTAGTCCCAGCTGCTTGGGAGGCTGAGGCAGGAGAATTGCTTGAACCTGGGAGGTGGAGGTTGCAGTGAGCCAAGATTGCACCACTACACTCCAGCCTGGGCGACAGAGCAAGACTCCATCTCAACAACAACAACAGTAAAATAATAAAATAAAAGATGAGCTACTCAGAGGGAATATGGAATAGGGTCCACCCTCCTAGATCCACCACTGTTTTTGTCCAGTGCTGAGCTTAACCACCTGAGTCACCTCGGGCTCCTGCCAACAGTCCTTCCTTGAACAACTGGTGGCTGAAATGCAGGGTCCTCCCAACCACCGGCATTGGGAGACTGTGCCACCAGACCCCACTGCAGAGAAGGAAACTCACGTCTGGTTCCGTGTCCAAAACATTTATTTTCAGGAAATGTTTGTGCCTGCACAACAAGGAAATTTTGTGGGGTGTCTGTGACTTGCTACAGTGACATCTAGCAGGACTAACTGGGGTCATCAGAGCCACAGAATAAGGACTGGGAAGGTGGCCACAACTGTGAGGACTGGGGCCATGTGTGGGGAGGACTCTGAGAGTGACCACTTGGGTGGTAACTTGGGTGTCCAGTGTGTGGGAATCTCAGTGAGTTTCTGGTCTGAAGTCAGATGCTGCCTCTGACGAAGACGTGAGAGGTCGGAGTGGCAGGAACTGCTCAGCTGCTCATCTGGGAATGTATCCTCCAAGGGGCTTTGCCCTTTGTTTTCTTCCCGTACCTAGAGGTGGCAGTCAGTGCTCAGTTTCCACAGCTCTCCTCAACACACCTGCTCAGACCCCTGGGCTATTCTCTTGCCCAGCCTCACGTACCTGTTCCACTTGTCTGAAGACCCGCAGCAGGTTTCCTCGAAGGACACCCCGAAGCTCTTCTTCACTCCAGCCACGACTCAGCAACTCCTCTATCAGGATGGGGTATGTGGACACATCCTCCAGCCCCTGAGGGAATCTGTGTGGCCGCCAGCCAGTGGGTTTCAGACCTGATTCCCTGATCCTGACTCAGAACCACAGCCCAGGGTCTATGAAACCCCAGCCCTGATCAGGTATGGAAAGTGAAGGTGATCCTCCTCTGCTCTTAATCCTTCAGAAGGAGCCCTCAAAACCTCCTTGAATATTTATCAAAACTCATTGAATCATACTATTAAGATCTATGCCATAGGCCGGGTGCGGTGACTCAAGCTTGTAATCCCAGCACTTTGGGAGGCCGAGGTGGGTGGATCACAAGGTCGAGAGATCGAGACCATCCTGGTCAACATGGTGAAACCCCATCTCTACTATAAATACAAAAAATTAGCTGGGCATGGTGGCACGTGCCTGTAATCCCAGCTACTCAGGAGGTTGAGGCAGGAGAATTGCCTGAACCCAGGAGGCGGAGGTTGCGGTGAGCCGAGATCGCGCCATTGCACTCCAGCCTGGGTAACAAGAGCGAAACTCTGTCTCAAAAAAAAAAAAAAAAAAAAGATCTATGCCTTTCACTGAAGGCAAATGATCTCCCCCATCCTACCAACCAGAGTTAAAAAGCAGAAAATGGCCAGGTGTGGTGGCTCACACCTGTAATCTTAGCACTTTGGGAGGCTGAGGTGGGTGGATCACTTGAGGTCAGGAGTTCAAGACCAGCCTGGCCAACATGGTGAAACAAACCCCATCTAAAAAAAAAAAAAAAAAAAAAAAAAAAAAAGGCCGGGCGCGGTGGCTCAAGCCTGTAATCCCAGCACTTTGGGAGGCCGAGGCGGGTGGATCACGAGGTCGAGAGATCGAGACCATCCTGGTCAACATGGTGAAACCCCGTCTCTACTAAAAATACAAAAAATTAGCTGGGCGTGGTAGTGCGTGCCTATAATCCCAGCTACTCAGGAGGCTGACGCAGGAGAATTGCCTGAACCCAGGAGGCGGAGGTTGCGGTGAGCCAAGATCGTGCCATTGCACTCCAGCCTGGGTAACAAGAGTGAAACTCCGTCTCAAAAAAAAATTAGCAGGGTGTCGTGGTGCACACCTGTAATCCCAAATACTTGGGAAGCTGAGGCAAGAGACTCTCTTGAACCTAGGAAACAGAGGTTGCAGTGAGCTGAGATTGCACCACTGCACTCCAGGCTGGGCAACAGAGTGAGACTCCATCTCAAAAAGGAAGAAGAAGAAGGAGGAGAAGGAAAAGGAGAAGGAAGAGGAAGAGGAAGAGGAGGAGGAGGAGGAAGAGGAAGAGGAAGGAAGAAGAAGGAAGAAGAAGAAGAAGAAGAAGAAGAAGAAGAAGAAGAAGAAAAGGTCCAGTGAGATGGCTCAGGCCTGTAATCTCAGCACTTTAGGAGGCCAAGGCAGGAGGATCACTTGAGTCCAGGAGTTCAAGACCAGCCTGGGCAACATAGTGAGACCCCATCTCTACAAAAAATAAAATTAGCTGGGCATGGTGTCACTTGCCTATAACCCCAGCTACTTGGGAGGCTGAGATGGCAGGATTGCTTGAGCCTGGAAAGTCAAGGGTGCAGTGAGCCAAGATTGCACCACTGCATCCCAGCCGGCCAACAGAGCGAGACCCTGAGAAGAAGAAGAAAAGGAGAAGAACAAGAAGGAGAAGAACAAAGGGAATAAAGAAGAAGGAGAAGGAGAAGAAGAAAGAAGGAGGAGGAAGAGATGAAGAAGGAGGAGAGGAAGAGCTTTTTCAGAAAACAGTGCATGCAAACACAGCCACTGTGCACAGGATGGAGAAGATGGTCAGCACACACCAAACCTTGCTGACAGTCTGCTTCAGAGGGAGTGGGTCTACTGGGGCTGAGGGTACGGGCAGTGCTGGGCAGATGAGCTCCGTTTGGTGGTTTCGCCAAATATAATGTCCTAGAGTGGGGTCACTGGGATGAAGACAAATAGGAGAGCCCAGGGAACTGATCCCGGGAGTGGGGAGATGCCAGGTGGTCAAGGCCTAAAAGATATGGTGGCTATGTTGACTGTGAAGGCCTCACTGCTATGCAGCTAGCTTCAGACAAGCCACAGGGAAGCACTCACTTGCCAGCCCCATCATAATCTCCACCAATCCCGATGAACTTGGATCCAATGACTGCCTTGATGTGGTCGAAGTGATCTGGAGAGAGGGCACGTGGAGAGTTGGCTGCGTAGGGCTTCCAGAACAGGCGTGCTACTGTGGCTGGACTGCGCTGAGTCTCCTTCTTGCAGCCTGTAGGCCAGGCAGGCTAATTCCTTCATTGCCTGGGACCTAGCTTGGCAACCTGAGAACCCTGAGATTTGACCTGAATGCATTCTGGCCTGGATTTCAGGTTTGGAGTGGATCCTCAGAGCCACCTGTCTGGGCCATTTCCCACCTAGGATTCAACCTGCCTCTAGTCTCCTTGAGAACCTGGTAGGGGCTCCTTTCTATGGTTGTGGGAGATGACAGAGGGAAAAAAGTATAACTGACAAAGACCCCAGAGACCTAAAAGGCCTTCCAGTCTCTTAGCCAGAAGCCAGGGCAGGGTGCTTTGGTGACCCCCTGCAGAGGTGCAGATACTTAGCACTCAGGTTCTATGTCTGGCTCTTCCCTTACGCCCATCAAGACTGCAGCTTTAGGCTCGGCACGGTGGCTCACACCTGTAATCCTAGCACTTTGAGAGGCCGAGGTGGGGTGGATCACCTGAGGTCAGGAGTTCAAGGCCAGCCTGGCCATCATGGTGAAATCCCATCTTAAAAAAAAGAAAAAAAAAAAAAAAAAAAAGACTGTAGCTTTGACTCTGTGGCTGCAGCTCCATGTGACCAAGGTGCTGTGTCCTGTCCATCACTGCATTTTTTCAGTGAAATCACTGGGACAGTCCTGAGGCCCTCCCAAGTCTTCAGGTGCAAATCAGAACTGCTTAGAGAGCCCGGGCGGGGGGCTTACCTGCCACCGTGGACACATTGGCTGATGGGTTGCACTGTATCACTCCCATGGACAAGGACACCATCACAATGCCACCGTTCTTCTTCTGCAGGGGCAGGCAAGTGGACACTCAGCCTGGCCCCTAAGCAAACTGCATATCTGCCCTGCCACCCTCTGGATCCCTGGAGGGGGTGTTGAGCCCTGGCTTCAGGAGTCAAAGGAACCTTCGCCTCTCTGGGTTTGTGTGAATGGAGGAGTGTAGGCTCTGGTCTAGTACAGGTGTCTTGGCACTTGCTTTGAGGAGTAGAGGAATATATGTATTAACCATCTGGAACCCCCCACTCCTGGATGTGGACTGTGGGTTGTGGGGCAAAAGGTTTCAGCCTGAAGTTTGAGGAGGTGGAGGGAGAAGAGCCTCAGGTTCAAGGGCTCATTTTTTTGTTTTTGTTTTTGTTTTTGTTGGCAGGGTCTCACTCTGTCGCTGAGGCTGGAGTGCTGTGGTGCAATCTTGGCTGACTACAACCTTTCTGCTTCCCGGGTTCCAGCAATTCTCCTGCCTCAGCCTCCTGAGTAGCTGGGATTACAGGCACCCACCACCATGCCAGGCTAATTTTTGTATTTTTAGTCGAGACGGGGTTACCCCATGTTGGCCAGGCTGGTCTCCAACTCCTGACCTCAAGTGATCCGCCTACCTCGGCCCCCCAAGGTGCTGGAATTATAGGCGTGAGCCACTGTACCCTGCCAAAGGGCTCCTGGCTTGAACCTCTTGCTTTAGGTTTCTGGTCTGGGCAGTTTTCTCACCAGAAGCTGCAGGATGTCATCAGGAACATTCCTAGCACTGTTGCACACACCCTGGGCAGCCGAGTGGGAAAAGATCACAGGTGCCTGTGACACTTCCAGGGCCCGCCGTGCCACAGCATGTGAGACATGGGACAAGTCTACCATCATGCCCAGGCGGTTCATTTCTGCCACCACTTTCTGTGGGGACACATTGGGAGAAGGGTATCAGGGGTGCACATGTGCATATTTATCTGTAAGAAACAGCTGGGGCGTGCACATTTGTGTGGGGTGGAGTGTGAACCAGGGTCCTCACCTCACCAAAGCCGGTCAGCCCGCTGACGTTGTTGTAGAAGGAGTGGACACCCTTAGCTGAGCTCTCTGCCCTGTAGGGTGGACAGAAAGCATTCTGACTGGTAGCTGTTCCTTGGCTACAAGAGCCTAGAAGCCCTAAACACCCTCTATCCCTGCAACCCCTGGGAACAAAAGCAGGGATCCAACATGGGCTGTGCAAATGGGCTGTGCCTGGTAGCAGGAGGGCCCTGTCGGGGCCTAGTCTTTTTTTTAGATGGAGTCCCGCTTTGTCACCCAGGCTGGAGTGCAGTGATGTGATCTCGGCTCACTGCAACGTGTACCTCCTGGGTTTAAGAGATTCTTGTGCCTCAGCCTCCGAAGTATCTGGGATAACAGGCACATACCACTATGCCTGGCTAATTTTATATTTTTCATCAAGATGGGGTTTCACCATCTTGGCCAGGCTGGTCCCGAACTCCTGGCCTTAGGTGATCTGTCCGCCTCAGCCTCCCAAAGTGTTGGGATTACAGGCGTGAACCACCACATCTGGCCAGGAGTCTAGTCTTATTCTGAAAACTCCAGAATCCCAGCTCCCTTCCCCCACTTCAGAGTCATTGCCAGATCCCAGCGGTAAAGCTTGCTTTGGGCCCACAGTGACCTCAGGCAGATCCCTGGCCCTGACTCAGTGGTCCCACATCATCTGCACTAGGCTCACCAGGGTGTGTTGCAGGTGTGGGTGAGTGTCAGGTAGCGCACTCCCAGCATGTAGAAGGTACGTAAGATGGAGAGGCTATTGTCCAGTGAGTGGCCGCCCTCCACACCGATGAGGCAGGCCAATTTCTGGGTGTTGTTCAGAGCTAGGAGCAAATAGGTCAGGTGATTACTTTTAGGGGCTGGAGTAGTTCAATCAAGTTCCTAACAATTCCCATCAACGCACCTACCTTTAGCTGAGGTCACAAGCTCCAGCTCAGAATAGGAGGCACACATGCGGTGAATGAGGTCAATCTGCTCCAGGGTGAGGCGCAGGGCATCCCGGTCCTGGGTCTGGCATGGCACGTAGGCCGACCAGAACTGGGGAGAAGGCCAGTTTGGCTTGGGAAGGGGCTGCTTTGGAGTTCCCTGGACTGTTTATAGCCTCCACAGCTGACACAGCACCCAGTGGGCCAGGAGGCCACAGGTAATGTACTGCTCCTTCCACGGGGTCTTCCTGTCTGCCAAGCTGGCTTGCTGTGGCCCCTGCACCCCCCAGCATCCGTATCATGACACTTTTTGGTTCACTATGGTAACTGAGTTCTCATGTGACTAACTTGTGATCTCTTGGGTCCTCACTCTCCCCAACATCCCCCAGCAGCCATGCTGTGGCACCTCATGTGTCCCTGTGGTACCTGGGCGCCCACGAGGCCTTCTCTGAGCCTGTCCAGGCTGGTCTGGCCGTAGCTGAAATTGCGCAGATTAATATCCTGGAGACCTTTCTGGTAAACCTGCCTCAGGATCAGGGGCAGGTCGTTGTGGCTGGAGGGATGTCAAGGCAGGGTCAGGTGAAGAAGGACAGACAGATGGGCCTCTAAGGCTTCCAGTTCAAGCAGGACACATCTGGGGATCCCCCACTCCACACTGTCACACGGCTATATTGAGACCCCCTGAGGTCTGGGATAGGGGTCCCCACCAGAGAGGGGGTGACAGAGGGGAAAGGGTGCCCATGTATGACAGAAGAGAGGGCATCCAGGGGTGTGGTGTGAGGGAGACTCCTCCACAGCCCTGCATACTCTGGGATCCTTCCCTGCCCAGGAGTGCACTCAGCCCCCATCGCCCCCATGCAGCAATTACGCACCCGTCCACGAGCGGGAAGTTCCGCATAAGGGCCCGTGCCTGCTCTCGCAGGCCCTGGATGCTGGGACTACCCAGTGCAGTCGAGGGAGCGTAGGTGCCTAGTGTGATGTGAGCTCTGGGGGTGCCCAGCGTAGTGAGAGCTCTGTGGGTGCCCGGCGTCGTGTGGGCGCAGGTTACAATCTGGAGCAGCAGCAGCAGGAACAGGACCAGAGGACTCAGCAGAGGCCACCGACCAAAGGTGCAGGGACCCTCGAGGCCCGCGGGCTGCATGTTGCACAGGGTCGGGCAGGGGTGGCGGTCAGAGAGCCTGAGAGGGATGGGCGAGGGGCAGAGCGCGACGATGACGTCCGGTCCCTCGATTCAAGCTGGTCGGCGTGACCTCCCCAGGAGGCTGTAGAAGTCACTGGGCCCCGCTACGGATGTGCAGAGAGCGGCTGTGTCGCGCAGCACAGCCACCAGAGGGCGCCCGACCCTCCCGCTGTTATCCCTAAGGGCGCTCCCGCCGGCTGGGCGGACCCCTGTCCTGGGCGCACTTTCAGGGCCTGTCTCAGGCCCCTCGAACCCTCCCACTGTCCCCAGGGGGCCGACGCAGGTGGCTCCTGTGCTACCCCTAGACTTCCTCTCTAAGAGAGAGGGCCTGGAGTGCGTCTCTCAAACAGTGGCCCTCCACCCTGCCCTGGGAGATCTGCGGACCACATCATGTCCCCAACCGCCTGCGACCTGCCCCCGCCACGGAGGGCCACATGTGTTCCTGTGACCATAGTGCTCTGGGCTCTGGATTTCCTAGTGCTGGGCTGTGGGTGGGTGTTGGGGAGAAGATAGGCTCTGGAAATGAGGGGTTAACTCTGTGGACTGGATTTAGGTAGGGGTCTCCTGGCCCTGGCCTTCTCACTCCTGCAACTTAGGCCCTCAAGCCTATACCCTGGGGAGTCTCCCAACAACTGGGACCTGTCAGGATCACTCCGCTGCCACCTTCCCCCCACCCCGTCCCCCTTCTCCCCACCCCCTGCCCCCTGTTCCTCCCCCCACCACTGCCCCCCCCCATCAGCCTCAGTAAAGAGCTCCTTCCTAAGAAGCTGCCACACTTCCCCAGGACCCCAGTGGAGAGACATTTGGGATGAGAGCAGAGCAAGCATCTGGCCACTGCCAGGGAACATTCACTCAGCAGAGCAGGAACCCACACAACGATCTGCATGGAAGGAAATGAAGTAATTTCTAGGGCAGCCAAGCCCCAAACTAGAGCTTCCTCCCAGAGCTTCTGGCTGACCTGCTGACCAGGATACCTCCTACCTCCGTGTGGAAGCCACGGCCTCATCCAGGTCAGTAGTAAGGGGCCTGAGGAGAGGCCTGGAACCTGGGTTCTGCAGCCACACTCCCCTTATCTCGTTCGTGGCTCCTGTGGCTTGAGCTCTCACAGAAGCCTCCAGGGCTGAGTTCCCTTCCTTGACGACAGGCCCCACCCTATTGACAGCCTGGGGCCCTCACCCTAGCTGCCTCCTCCAGGAAGGACCCCCAACCACATAGGCACACCAGCACAGATGCACAGGGGATGTGCCTGCTCACAGGAGCCCTACCACCCGAGAGCTTCAGGGACTGTGACCAAACCCCTTTGTCCTCAGAGATCTTTGCCTCCTCCTGCCTGAACTTTGGCACCCCCTGGAGCTGTTCCATCTTTGGAGCCTCCCCCAGGTGGCAGGGCTGATCAGTGCATGGATAGTATGACCTAGGCCTGATGACTAGAGGTATAAGAAGGCCTCCTAAAAGGACGCTGATCCAGCTGGGCAATGGTGGCTCACGCCTGTAATCCCAGAACTTTGGGAGGCCAAGGCGGGTGGATCACCTGAGGTCAGGAGTTTGAGACCAGCCTGGCCAACATGGTGAAACTCATCTCTACTAAAAATACAAAAATCAGCCAGGCATGGTGGTGCATGCCTGTAGTCCCAGCTACTCAGGAGCCTGAGGCAGGAGAATTGCTCGAACCTGGGAGGTGGAGGTTGCAGTGAGCCAAGATTATGCCATTGTATTCCAGCCTGGGTGACAGAGTGAGACTCTGTTTCAAATAAAAAGAAAGAAAGAGGGAGAGAAAGAGAGAGTGAGAGAGAGAAAGAAAGAAAAGAAAGAAAGAAGTGATCCCAGTTTTGATGTATTTTAGGGACTGCACATTGATGTTGTCCAGTGTCTGCTATCCAGGAGGAAGGCAAATAGATGGCCAAGTGCTCATGGTGGGTTAACTCCCATGTGTACTGCTGCTAAAGGGGGCCTTTTGTTTGTTTGTTTGTTTTGGGACAGAGTCTCACTTTGTTGCCCAGCCTAGAGTGTAGTGGCACAATCTAGGCTCACTGCAATCTCCACTTCCTGGGTTCAAGTGATTCTTGTGCCTTAACCTCCTGAGTAGCTGGGATATGCACCACCATGCCCGGCTAAATTTTGTATATTTAGTAGAGATGGGGTTTTGCCATGTCGCCCAGGCTGGTCTTGAACTCCTGGCCTCAAGCAATCCGCTCACCTCTACCTCCCAAAATGCTGGGATTACTGGGGTGAGCTTTCGCACCTGGCCTTCATATTTTAAGATGGGGTTTCACCATTTGGTCAGGGTGGTCTTGAACTCCCAACCTCAGGTGATCTGCCCGTCTTGGCCTCCAAAGTGCTTGGATTACAGGCGTGAGCCACCACGACTGGCCTTTTTTTTTTTTTTTTTTTAATTAAAGACAATGTCTTGCTTTGTTGCCCAGGCTGGTCTGAAACTTCTGGCTTCAAGTGATCCTCTCACCTTGGCCTCCCAAAGTATTGGGAGTATAGGTGTAAGCCACTGTGCCCAGCCCTTCTATAGGGAGGCCCACTGCAGAGGGTAAGTCCTCTTGGGCTCTGCTTCAGAGAACAGTAGGGTGTGGTTTTGGGTAACCCAACTCAGACTGGCTTCCTTCCTTCGCCCCACACCCACTTGATTAGTGAGAGGGAGGAGAAGCTCTTGGATTTGCTGGTCTCCAGGTCAAAGATGTGGGTTTGAGGGATAAACAGTTTATTCCACTCCTGAGAGCCCCAGGAAGTAAGGGGCATAAAGAATGAGGAACTGAATCTGAATGTTATACATTATACGTATCTAAACGTTACTATGGGCGGGGCGCCTGTAATCCCAGCACTTTGGGAGGCCGAGGTGGGCAGATCACCTGAGGTCAAGAGTGTGAGACCAGCCTGGCCAACATGATGAAACCATGTCTCTACTAAAAATACGAAAATTAGCCAGGCTTGGTGGCTCGTGCCTGTCATTGCAGCTACCTGGGAGGCTGAGATGGGAGAATCATTTAAACCCTAGAGGTGGAGGTGGTAGTGAGCTGAAATTGGGCCACTACACTCCAGCCTGGACAACAGAGTGAGACCCCATTTCCCTCCCCTCACCTCCAAAAACCAGCCTCTGCTAATTTTTAATTTTTTTTTTTTTTTGAGACAGAATCTCACTATATTGCCCAGGCTGGTCAATTATTATTTGTCAATTTAAAAAGATTTAAAAATAGGGAAGGGATAGGTAGGAATAAATAAATAGCAGCTGACAGAGGAGTAGGTGGGGAGAATTTTTTTTTTTTTTTTTTAAATGGAGTCAGCTGGGCATGGTGGCTCATGCCTGTAATCCAAGCACTTTGGAGGCCAAGGCGGGCGGACCACCTGAGGTCGGGAGTTCAAGACAGAATCTTGCTCTGTCGCCTAGGCTGGAATGCAGTGGCATGATCTCTGCTCATTGCAACCTCCCTCTCCTAGTTTCAAGCAATTCTCCTTCCTCAGCCTCCCAAGTAGCTGCGACTACAGGCACATGCCACCACACCCAGCTATATATATATATATTTTTTGTATTTTAGTAGAGATGGGGTTTCGCCTTGTTGCCTAGGCTGGTCTTGAACTCCTGAGCTCAGGCAATCCACCCACCTCAGCCTACCAAAGTTCTGGGATTACAGGCGTGAGCCACTGTGCCCAGCCTAATTTTTGTATTTTTAATAGAGACGGGATTTCACCCTCTTGGCCAGGCTCGTCTCAAACTCCTGACCTCAGGTGATTTGCCCGCCTCAGCCTCCCAGAGTGCTGGGATTACAGGCGTAAGCCACTGTTCCCAGCCAGAATTTTTAAAATGAAATAAACAGATATGACTTCTCTGTAGGGAATGGGCTGGAGGCCAGGAAATCAGGAGGGGATAAGGAATGAAGGGGCCTGTACTGGGGAAGAAGCAGTGGGAACAGGAAGGAGATATATCTGAAGACATTTGGAGGCTGAACCTGCAGGATTTGGAGATGCTTTGAAGCAGGGCTGGTGGCAGACAGTAAGGAGGTATAAGTGGTAACACAGGGGCGGCTCTTGAGTCAGGCCCTGAGCTTCCCTGCCTCTGCCTCTTTCCACTTTGCCCACTGCCAGCATCTGGCTAACTTAGATCGTGGCCTCTGACCCCAAATAATCCCTGTGCTCAGATCTGTGTCACTGATATTGGTGGCTCCCAAGACTTCACTAGTATGCACTGTTGTCCCTGCAAGGGGAAGGGCACAGAGATGGCTTTGGATGATGTTACGGGAAGGAGAGGCTGCCTTGTTGGCTGGAACTTGTTTACCTCTGAGATATGAATGTTCATGTGAGCCATGATGCCTGGCCTGTTCCTCTTTTAACAAAACCTGGTAGGGCACAGTAATCCTGTATCATTCCTGCAATCCCAGCAATTTGGGAGGCCGAGGCAAGAGGATCTCTTGAGGCTGGAGTTTGAGAGCAGTCTAGGCAACATAAGTAAGAACTCTCTCAACAAAAAAAAAAAAAAAAAAAGAAAGAAGGAAAGAAAGAAAAAAGAAAACTAGTATATCCCTGTGGTCACAGGTACTTAGGAGGCTGAGGTGGGAGGTTTGCCTGAGCCCAGGAGTTTAAGTTTGCAATGAGCTATGATTGCACCACTGCACCCTAGTCTGGGCAACAGAGACCTCACCTCTAACAAAACAAGAAACAAAATCCAATGCATCCTCCTGCCTAAAGTTCTTCTGTGGCTTCTCATTGCTCTTAGGATCTACCAAATTTCCTTCTTTGTTTTTTTTTTTTGTTTTTCTTGAGATGGAGTCTCTCTCTGTTGCCCAGGCTGGAGCATAGTGGTGCGATCTTGGCTTATTATAACCTCCACCTCCCGGGTTCAAGTGATTCTCCTGCCTCAGCTTCCTGAGAAGCTGGGACAACTGGAACCCGCCCCCACCCCCAGTTAACTTTTTGTATTTTTAGTAGAGACGGGGTTTCACCATGTTAGCCAGGATGGTCTTGATCTCCTGACCTTGTGATCCGCCTGCCTCAGCCTCCCAAAGTGCTGGGATTACAGGTGTGAGCCCAAATTTCCTTCTTTGACTCTCAACTCCTGGAGAGTCTGCTCCCACCAGCCTCTCCAGTCTCAGCAAATAGCACAAATCTTCCTGTCTTCCAAAGTCTGCCCGCATCAGGGATGCTACGTCCACCACAGGCTCTTGGCACAACCTCAGCTTCCAGCTGGTAGGGCAGTTGAGGCAAGGCCAGGATAGGAAATCTTGCCACCAAGAAGGAGTAGGTGGGTGAGCAGCTTTTCCCACTACTTCCTCTTCTATGCAGTGTTTGCATAAATCAAGATCTGCAGAGGCGGCAGCAGTAGAAACAGTTTGCTCCAAGGACCAAGCTTATTCTGGTGTGCAGCTCACCTGCCCCTACTCATCTGCAGTGTATTTCAAGACTAGGCAGGGAAGGAAAAAGTAAGGCTGAGTTATAGCTACACAGGCTGCCTTCCATGCTCAGAGTACAGGGGTGGGATGCAGTGGGGCTTACTCAGTATCCAGCAGCACCCAGATGATGATCCTCTGCATTCAAGTCCCCCTGGTCCTGGAGACTCATGCTTCCCCTGGATGTCACCTTGGATCTGCTCCAATGATGTCTGATACAGACAATTCCCAAGAAACAATAGTCTTCCAAGCCAGAAACCAGCCTGGCCACTGTTTACAAACATCCTCCAATCACCAAGCTGAAGCCACCCTTCCTGAAATGCAAATAGCTAACATAACATTTTTCTTCCTCAAAAGGCAGTCAATGTTTATCTTTCTAGGAGAAGTGTAATAACCCAAATGCATCTTCATCTCCTGAATGCATCTCCAACACTCTCCCCAACCCCTAACCTCCAGCCTCTCTGTCCAACATTCCAGGGGTGCTTTTTTTTTTTTTTTTTTTTTTTTTTGAGATGGACTTTTGCTTTTGTTGCCCAGGCTGGAATACAATGGCATGATCTTGGATCACTACCTCTGCCTTCCAGGTTCCAGCGATTCTCCTGCCTCAGCCTCCCTAGTAACTGAGACTACAGGCATGAGCCACCACACCCGGCTAATTTTTTTATTTTTGGTAGAGACAGGATTTCACCACATTGGTCTTGAACTCTTGACCT